AACAAGACCATGACCACCCTTTTTAGAAACAGTACCAACAAAAACCTTATTTACTATACTTTTTGTGTACCCCCAATCTCAATTATCTGTATCCGCCTATGATTTTTGAAAATGCATATTTTTAGGATCCATGTGAATTCCTGGTTCATTCTCTATCGATCGGCAAAAGTTGCGTTAAGATTGGTTCAGAAACTTGGCCGTGATAAACAGTCTAAAATGTATCTGCAATTTGCCCGTTTTTACCCCCCTCTACCCCCCCCCCCCCCTATTGACATTTTTTAATTTTTATTTTTTAGAAATGTAGATCACGTTGAGCGAAATCGAATGCCGTTTGAATTTTGAAAATCGGCCCGTTAGATCTCGAGATATCAAGGGGGGGTCGTAAACAGCCCCCCCCTGCCACTAATAGGGGTAGCCAGGAGCCTGCCACTAATAGGGTTAAAACAGTTACATTTAAGGCGTACCGGTTTCGTCTATTGACTTCTTCAGCGCCGTATACGGCGCTGAAGAAGTCAATAGACGAAACCGGTACGCCTTAAATGTAACTGTTTTAATAGTTTGATTCGTGGAGCCTGGAGGTTCATGTACTCTCGATACATCTCGCTGCAATGTTACCGTTCCGAGACCGATTGGAAGGTGTCATTCTCAGATTTTCATAATCATACCTCATCTCGGTACTTGTCTCATCCGCTGATCTTTGAAACTACTGTTGATCGTCTACAGACGAGCAAACCTGTCGTGCTTCATCTTTCCGCGATGAATATCCATTTAGGCATTTAATGTTGATAATCTATTGATCAGTACCTGACATCTTTGCCTTTTTATTTATAAATTTTCATCTTAAAAATTGTGGTTTTGACACTTAACACGGTGTTTCCGAAAACCTTCCTCGAACCTAACACTTCTCAACATATCACGCCAGTTCTTCCCCTTATACTGTTTGAAATTGTAACGACACCTGTATTGCCTTTCTGCCATTATTGTTTGGTTTATCAAGGAAAGGGGAGTGACCGTGAGCAATAATGCTACATATAATACTACATATAGAGTATACTTTGCCTGTTTGACGTTCAAATTACATGCAGGTTTGCAATGATCAACAATAGTTAATTACACTCAAGATAGGATGAAAAAAGTGGTGGGGAGGAAAAACAGCAGCTAGCATGCCCAGCTCCTTCATCTCATTTTTCACCAAATCACAAACCATGAATCGGGCTTTTGGGTATATGCATGTTGTTTATGACAAAGCATATGCACTATGCAGTTTTCATACGTCCGGCAGTTTAAGAGCGTTATAAGAACACCACACGACAGGAGCAGCTTTAAATGATCAGCAGATTCGTGCCAAGGACGTTTTATAAAAGGAAAACTTATAGCTCACACAAAACACGGAAAAACCGGACTCCCATTTGGAGAGCAGCTGCAGGCGATATGTTCACTGCTCCCATCTTTAATCCGAGATCTTATGATCAGGAAACGGCGCACGGAAACACAGAGGGATTTAAATAAATCTCTCCATATTTAAAGTCCACGAGACAGACCGCAGCGTCTGTGGCTCTTTCCGTTTCCTAGGATTGGATTGGTAATGTTATAAGCAGAGCTAAGCAGTCTAATGGCAGCAAAAGCTGCATCCACCGCAGCAAAAGCCGCAGCGTGGAACCACATATGGGAATCACTAGGAAGGATTCACTATGGTTGGACGAGGCGAATTGGTGTCTCACCAAGGCCTGAATCACTGAAGTAAATTTTGTAATCACACGCCGTGTTTTACAGCGAGCGGGGATTTCAATGAGAAAAACGCTACGAAAGTATTCATGCTTTGTCTTCCCAGACGGTAAAATTCATTTTGAAATAGCAAGTGATGCCAAAAAAATGAAGACATTCTACGCAGCATTGCCTCCATTGCTTGCGCTGCGTGTGGCACCGTGACCACCACATCCCTCCATCAGAGATGCAGCGGACGATACGCTCTACAGCGCACTACATCTAGCACAAGGTTCAAGGTAGCGAGGCGGTCTGTGCGGCGCAAAGTCTTTGTCTGAGCCCTTCTTTGAGCGGAAGTCCGGGCAGCACGCAGTGTTGGAGAAGCCAATAATGCTGAGCTTTCCGCTGGATAATCCCAATGGCGTTCTTCAATGACGGAGACGGGAGTAGCGTGCAGATGCTGGCCGCCTCTGAGAAGATAGGAATGTCTCTGGGAGGTTCATGGGTTGAGCCTTTGCACGCATGAATGCCTTCTTTTAATACCTTGAAATGATGATTCGCAGACCAAAATACGTATCGCAAAAGTACGCAGGACAAAAGTACGTACGCAAATGTTCGTACGCAAATGTTCGTATGCAAAAGTACGTATGCAAAAGTACGTGTAGTATAAAGTACGTAAGACAGTACTACGTACGCAAAAGTACGTATGCAAGGGTACGTATAGTATAATAAAGTACGGAAGACGTACGTACAAAAGGTACGTCGAAAATCCAACAATGTCCAAGCCAGCCATTTATCCAAATATATCCGAAAACTAAACAATACTTAACACTCAGCACTGATGCACTGTCATCTAATTTCCTGTTTTAATGCATTATTACCGAGTAGTAAAGTAATCTTGCTATTACCAGCCCAAAAGTATTGATCAACTCGAGAGCTGAGCATAGCTTTTTATTCGTCAATCAATGCTACACACAAATACATTATAAAAAAAATGCTAAGGTGTAACATTTTTTTCGGACTGATGCAGATGTTTTATTATGTTGATTTTTTCCATATTAATGCGTAATTGTTTTTTTTTAATATACATAATTTATTCATGCATCCTCATGTCACTCACGTACTTGTGCTAGTGTAGACATGCGCATTATGTACATATGTACACATAATTCATTCATGTATCATCATTCGTCATGTCACTCATGTGCTGTGTGTGCTAGCGCAACAAAGGTTCAAACGTCTTAAAGGAGCACCAAGGGATCCCGTCCCGCCCCGTGCAAAGGTGTAGCAAATGATTGTCCAGAGTTGTCCAAAGCCTGCTGCCTTTGTCTAACCAAATAACGAATTGGACATTGCACAAAATCGGAATTCCGAAGGTCCAAGTTCCGACTGGCACCACGATAACAGATGTGTAAGGTTGGGATAGATTTTATTGAACGGAGATGACAGACGTAAGTTCTGTTCGTCGGCAGACTTCTGTCAACTGCAACTGGTGTGCACTGTGCAGCGAGCAGATATGGATACTCGGCAACTGCTATTTTTGTCGTTTATAGTGGCACGCCATAAAAACGATAATTCTCTATCACCGATGGTGTTTGCCTTTTGGTACATCAACAAATAGGCACAGCAGTTCCAAACACAGCTATATTAAAAAGCACACACATAGACTGTTCAAATTACCCCACGGTTGGGCAATTTGAACACACCGTGACTTGGTGGAGAAGTATAGCACTTAACTTTTTGAGGTATGCTCAGCTCGTTCAAAAATAGGGTTTGTATGTTCAAAGGAAGTCGTATTTGCGCTTCTGAAAGAGCTTTCCATTCCCCAGGGCTGAGTTGGGATTTTGTGTGACAGAGTAGACGTAAAATATGTTTCAAATTACCCCCAACCTGCCCTATTGTGTGCGCATGGGCCAAAAGTAGGCACGGAAGCAGAAGCAGATGCTTGTTCGCATAAGTCGTGTGTAAAAATTGCTAGGACGCAAAAGTAGGTACGCATGCAAAAGAACGTCGTGGCCATTTTTTATTTTCACGCTCACGCTCACGCCATCGCTCGACGCACGTCGTCCTTTCTTCAAAAGCTGAAGTTATGCGCTATTGTCCCAGAGGAAGTCAACAGTGCCGAATTCCCCAATCCCATCTGTCTTTGACGTACGTACGTACTTATGTCAATGCATACTTCTTACTGTACGTACCTTTGCGATACCTACATACTTTTGTCCTACGTACGGGACCCGCAGTTGCTACTGTACACGAACCCCAACTCTAGCCGTCTGTCCTGTCCAGTAACAACCGATAACATTGATATCGACTGCCGGTCCCTGTACAAAAGCAGCTGAGGTTTTCTGTGCGTGCCCTCTGACAGCTTATCGTTATTCCCTGTGAGGGTGCTGGGACAATTTACTCAGGGTCGCTGTACAGTAGCAACTGCGGGTCCCCGTACTTAACCCGCGCCCCGCTGGGGGTCCTGGATTTCCACGCCCTGCTGGGGGGTGTTTGAATCCCCCCTTCTAACTCAACTCCTGGGCCACGTATCGATACGGGAAAGGCGGCGTTCGAAAGAGCGTCAAAAATAAGGAAGAAATCACTTCGGTCACTTTTTTGTTCAGGTCAAAGGTCATGTCACCAGAGGTCATTGAAGGCCAAAATTCGCCGATTTGTAGGTCAGATGTCGACAAATTACAACAAATAAACGCACAGCTCGGAAACTGATAAAGCTAGGGCTCTGATAAAGCTATAAGGCTCCCGGCCTTATAGCTTTAGGCCGCGGAAAAGCGCATTTCACAGCCCTATTAACACTCTCTAAATAATACTCTCAGATTTGACCTACCGTCAACGGTTTTGCCTGCAGGGGGCAAAAACTGCCAAAAGGGCCGTTTTTTCGGAAACCGTTTTTCTGCAATAACTTTTGGCTCAAACCTTGCACTTGCACGTAAGTTACTTATAATTTAGTGTTTTTAGTGTTTATAATTACTTCCGTCTAAAAAAGGCGACTTGAAGTTTTCTCCCATTGACTTATAATGTGGACTGTGGAGGTTGCACCTTAGGTAATCGATATCAGAATTCCAAGATATACATTTTGTACATATTGCTGTTCTTATCAATCTCTGAAAGTTTCAAAGGACGCCTGGCACCAGTCACTGGGTAGCCCCACAGCAGCCGTGCAGGTTCTCTCGTCTCGTGATAGAGACCGCAGCTCCATGATTCATTAATCCCGCAAACCGCCTTTACCTGTCTACCCGCCGCCACAAATGCGCCTGCAGCAGGACAAGTAGCCTACCGCACACACACGATCCGGGAGGCATATATAACCCTTGGGCTGTGCGCAAAAGGCATCAGTCTTGGACGAAACAGCGCCGTGCAACTTTCAACTCAGATCGCAGGTCGGTTGACTGCCTTACTTGCTACTGTCGCGAATTAAATAGGTCATGCCATTTATTTATATTAGTTAATTCTACTAGTATTTTGATTTTTTTTTTTGCATTTTGGAGAATACGGTCTCTCGTAGTTTCATATCCACAGACTTAAAACCCTCGCCCCGTTGGGGGGGGGGGGGGCATTTTGGCCCTCCCTGTGGTTTTTCCTGAATAGCAAGAAAACGGCGGCGCGCAGCGCCGCCAAATTTTCAGTCCTTCCCGGGCATCAATTTGACACCTTCACACCGAATTTCAAGCCTTAGGTCACCTTAGGTCAGGAGTTATTGAGGTCAAACTGAGGTCATGTTCGAGCAAAAATGAGCAAAAAACATGCAATCTTGAAACGCTCACCAAATTTACAGTTACCAAGTAATTTCAAAGTTCTTTATATGGTCTAGTAGACAAAAAACGGGGCTACAAAACTGCTATCTCGGATTTTCAAAATTTTGGGTTTTTGACCCCCAAAAATTAAAAAATTGATTTTTTTAGAAAAACTCAAAAAAATCCAAAAAATCTGAATTTCGAAAAAACCGGAATGTAATGATAGTCCCTGTGCTCTTCTATATACATACCAAATTTCAGAAAGATATCTCGTTTTTTGGCTAAGCTATAGCGAAAAAACTGTTCAAAAATGATGACGTCAAATATTTGAACTCAATTTTTAGCGATTCTAGACCACGTAGGGCAAAACAAAGACCACCATTGAACTCCCCGTGACGAGCTGCATCGAATCGATACCCATTTTATGCAAAATATCAACTTTGAAATTTGACCTAATTTGACCTGACCTTGACCTGACCTTGACCTGACCTTGACCAAAACGTGACCTAAGCTGGCCCAAAAGTCTGCCTGACAAACATAATCGCATTTGTCATGTAAAATGGACCATAAAACATGTATCACACGACACTTTCATATTGTGACCCCCCCCCCCCAGTGACCTGACCTCTGTGACCTGACCTGGTATCAGTGACCTCAAATAGCAAAATATGTGTTTGAAGAACATTTCCCCATCAATGATTTTCAATGAAATGCATTTTACTCGATTTTACAACGCATTTCTTGAAATGCCTGTAAACGGTGAAAATTCCACCTTTGACCTGACCTGTGACGTCATCGGTTTGACCTAGGTCAATAAAATTGGGTCACAAGGTAGTTCCCTGATAGGGCTATCCAACACCGTTTGCCGCTTGTCGCTAGGTTGCGTGGTTCTCGAGATCTTAGGGGGGCCAAAATGCCCCCCCCCCAACGGGGCGCGTTGCTCGGCAGAGCCCAACGGGGCGCGGGTTAACCCTCGCCGGACCTATTGGTTTTCTACATACGCGCCGGCCGAGGGGGGGGGGGTACGACCCGAAAGAGGTCATGTCGCATATCATTCGATTCGGCAGGTCTTCCTGAGTCCATTGGTGGCTTTCCCGACTCGCTAGCTCAATTTGATCAAGAGTTATTGACGAAAAACTAATCTGACCTTGATGACGTCATAAATGACGTCACGCAAGGTCAACATTGCAAAAGTGACGCATCTCAACTTGCAAGGAGTGCATCAAATCACGTTCTGTGTGCTTGAGATAGTTGAAGATCGTGCCCGGCGCCAGAATAGCAGTTTTCATTTTTCCCCATTGACTTATAATGGTGAGGTCACGAAGATGACCTGACGTCATATGACCTTTAGGAAAAATCCGAGATATACAAGTTGTGAGACTCATAATGGATACTAGATCCTGCAAGTTTCATTTCCCTGTGACACCTCATCTGGCAGTGAGGGCGTTGCGAAGTTGCGACATCTGAAGACCGTGCAGAGGTTCACTTATGACGTCATAGGTCAGTAACCTGACCTGACCTAAAAATGTGGTTGGTGTCAAAAGATCTGGCTTGAATCAAAGGTCAGGTATGCCAAGTTTCAGCTCTCTATCGCCAGCGTGTTCGGAGCTATCGCGAAAAAACCCTATGGGGGGAGGGCGGCACCCGCCCCCCCCCCCCCTCGGCCGGCGAGGGTTAATCCTATTATTACTGGTGGGCTCTCTGGACTACGTTAACTGGGAGGGGCGGGGCGATTCGGCCCCCCTTGATATCTCGAAAATTAAATTTCCGATCCTAATGGGACAAATCCCATTCGATTGCTCTCATCGTGAACTTTAGACTCTCTATAAAAAAGACAAAAAAGGTCAAAATTGGGGGTCCTGGAAGCAAAATTTTTCGAAAGGAAATCGCGTTTTACACCTCTTCACTTGAAATGCTATAACTTCTTTCTTTTTTGACCGATTTTGATTAAACTTCAGGGGACTATTCTTCATGAACTGGGTCATCATATATTTTGGTATTTTGGATATTTCAAAAATCATAGGCAGATTCAGGTAAGCTAACTTGGGATGATGTTTTGAGTCTTTGTCATGGTATGTCATGTGTCTTATGACATGACGTGTCATATATCATGTAAAATATGCAACGTGAGCACAAAATACACGTTTTTGTTAAGCATAGGCGGATTTAGGCACGCTAAAATGGGGGGAGCAGTACATTGATATTACCCCCTTTCTCAGGTACCTGGATCCGCCTATTCCAATATTTTCATTGTAAAATGACGTCACATAGTCTTCAGGTGCACACATATGACGGGTGGTGCCACTGATCACCAGTACAAACCTAAGTAAGTCGCTACTTAGCGGCGAATTTCGGAACAGTCAAAGCTGGTTCAAAACTACCCCCGAGAATTTCGTCCTGGAGACGCCTCTGCGGAAGCTAGAAGCTAAAAAATTTGACACATTGTGCCCAATAAAAATGGTAAAATTGACCTTATGCTCATAATATCGGGTAAATTAATTGAAACAAGGTCCAGAATATATTTTCGAACTTGGTTCTTCGGTGGAATCAAAAATATATTCCACCGAAGAAGAGCGAAGTTCGAAAATATATTCTGGACCTTTTTTCAATTAATTTATCCGATATTATGAGCATAAGGTCAATTTTACCATTTTTATTGATTACAATCATGCTCAAAGAAACGTTGTAAGTACCATATAAAACATTGTGCCCAATGAATACCAAGGAAAATTCACAAAATTTCGAGCCCCTAGCTGAAGTGATTTTCCGTCGAGAGCAAAAAAAACAACAGGTGGGGGCCGATTCGCCCCCCCCCCCCACCCACCAGTAATAGGGTTAACCCGCGCCCGGCTGGGGGTCCTGGATTTCCACGCCCTGCTGGGGGGGGTGTTTGAACACCCCCCCCCCCTTGTAACTCGGCTCCTGGGCCACGTAGCGATACGCGGAAGAAGGCGTTCGAAAGAGCGTCAAAAATAAGGACGAAATCACTTTGGTCAATTTTTTGGTCAGGTCAAAGGTCAGGTCACCAGAGGTCATTGAAGGTAAAATTTCGCCGATTTCCAGGTCGAATGTCGAAAATTTCCAAGAAGCCAACGCATAACTCGGGAACCAATAGAGCTACAGCGCCGCGGAAAAGCGCATTCGATAGCCCTATTAACGCCCTTTCTGAGTAATTCTCTCAGATTTGACCTAACGTCAACGGTTTTGCCTGCAGGGGGCAAAAACTGCAAAAATAGCCGATTTTTTCGGAAACAGTTTTTCTCCAATAACTTTTGACCCAAGGCTTGTACGAGCTTACTTTCACCGGCATCGTGTTCCTCTCGTCAAGACGCATCGAATGAACTATAACTTGACCTTGAAAGGACAACTTGAAAATTTGACCTCAGGTCAAGGTCATGACCTGACCGGAAGGGGTCATGTTGCATATCAGTCGATCCGTATCGTCGAGCTGAACACATCTAAGGCGTTTTCATCGCTCTAGCATGCCTCTATCAAAAGCTATTTGCGAAAAACTGTTAGATACCATTCGTGACCTAAGATGACCTCAGGGCACAAACAAGGGTCACGGACACCATTTTCATGTTCAGTGTGTCTAAACCACTTGTAATTCGGTGTTTGGGAGTGTTTATAATGTCTTTCATCCAAAAGAGGCGCATTTCAATTTTATCCCATTGACTTATAATGGGGAGGTCGCAAAATTGACCTGACCTTAGGTCATCGATATCAAAATTCTGAGATATACATTTTGTACATGCTATTGCTCTTAGCAATCGCTGAAAGTTTCAGAGCGATCGGTCACTCGGTGTAGCTATGACAGACATTGAAACTTTTTATGAGGTGAGGTCACTTCAAGTGACCTTGGGACCTGACCTTGAATGACCTTGGTCTGAAATTTTTACAACATGTGTAGAATTGATGTATGATAAAATGTACCAAAAACGGCGGCGCTCCGCGCCGCCGTTTTTGAGATATTCGCGAAAAACTACAAGGGGGGTGTTCAAACACCCCCCCCCCCACCAGTAATAGGGTTAACAGAACAGGCTCAGCTTGGTCTCATCGTGCACTTTTAACGAATCGATTGCTAAAGCAGCTTGCACTGAACGTGAAAGCGCTTGATTTTAATTGTAAAATATCATTCGTCTACCTCAACCTTAAATCAACTGCTTTTATTTTGGTCGTTAACTTTTGTCTACGACGAATGTTGTTTCAGGCTCAGTGATAGCGACTTATGATTTAGTTATAAGGCCAAGAGGCAGGTAAAGCATTCCAAATTTTCTACCGTTTCAGCAATGAAGATCGTTCTGCTCATGGCGTGCCTGGTGGCGGCGGCGGCGGCCGCCCCCCAGTTCCTTGGATTTGGACGTGCCACCGGCAACTCGGGCGCCTTCAGCACCCAAGGGCAGTCCCGTGGACCATTTGGAACAAGCCAGATCCAAAACAGCAGAGCCTTCGCCCAAGTAAGTTCCGTCATTTCGCGTGGGCTCGTCCTTTGCCATTCTAAAAGCCAGCAGTTATTTTCAGGTCCTCTTGCGTCTTTATCTTGATGTTAATTGAGTGGCCAAGCCTCGAGCAATCTAGAGGAACATTTAACTTTCGCCCGTATAGGGGGGGGGGGCGAACGACCCCCCGGTTTTTCGCAAAAAAAAACTCGCGCAAAAAGCGGCCGATCGCGACGAAACTTTCAGTACTTTCGAGTTGATCAATTTTACACCTACCCTAAAAATCTCATGACCCTGACCCAAATGACATTTGACCTATGACCTACTTTTCGAGACCATGTTTGGCCGGAATCGCGATTCGGCGTATGTCGGCTCGCATAAGCCGCGCGTTTGCAGTCTTCTCGTGGTTTCAAGCGTTCAAACATGTGAAACGATGTTGGTCCCATGCATTAGGGTGGGTGTCAAGGTCACCTGCTGTAGTATAGATGACTTCAGGGGAAGAACGCCGAAAGATTTCTTGCATAGCTTGCTGCGATGGTGCTGTTTATGTTTTTTTTTTCTAAAACGGCAAATGCTCGATTGGACAAAACCCTTTCGGACCAAAGACATATTCAGCATCGCGGCAAAACAGCATCTGAACGATGCTCTGCTCTGAACAGAGGTTATTCGCCCAAATGCAATTAACTGAATATACCGATAAACTCGTGTGCCTAGGTTAGAGTCAATTTCACATATAGCTAACAGTTTGGCTAATTGTAAGCTCAATCTCCTACAAGCGTCATTGGCTGTGTCGCTAACCAGCTGCTTTCCTCCAGGGCTCCGCGTTCAATGGTGGATCGTCTTTCAACCGCGCCAACAGCAACGCGTTCCAGAGCACAGGGCCGTTCGGAGGCCGTCAGTCTGCCTTTAACCAGGCCACCAGCAATCAGTTCGGTGGTGGAGGTTTCTTCAGGTGATTTCTTCCCGTGAAGAGGATGTAACAACGACGACGACATTTCCATAACGACCTAGCCTGTTGGTGTTAGCACCATTGCACTGCTATAGCGCAAACGAACGACGGTTCGGTACTTAATGCGATTTCAATGTGCCACCCAGCAAGTACTATGCTTTTATGTTATGACGCACAAATAATATACAATAAATAAACGTTTGTTGGACATAGTAGTGTGCATTGAAATACAAGCAGCTTGAGCTGGTTTTGGAGTTATCCAGAAAAAAAAACACAAAGATGAGTAGAAATGAAAACTAGCACAAGGAAACAACAGTGACGGCGGGAGACGCGATGGTTCAATGCTCTGTTCACGTCATGAGAGCGGGGATGTAAGCACCACCTGCTGCCTATATTGTAGTCAGGATAATTCAAGAGCTAACAATAATATCGCTGAAGAAAATATCGGAATTCAGACCATCATTTGATGGGCACATCTTTGAGTGATTTGAGCCGTATGAATCGAGACAGTAGCCTGCGTTTAGATGATTCAGGTGGGCGGGCGGTTGGGTTGCAAGGGACGCTTGCAAAGGACTTTCAATTACTAGCAAAAGCTCAGATAAGGAAAACATAATAAGTACAAAACCACTCATTAGCCAGAGAGCCTCAGAAATGAAGAGGGGATTTCACAGCACTGGTCTGTTACTTATTCAGGGTGAGATGAGCGTTCTTAACTGGTTAATCCACTTCTAACAGTGTCGTCAAAAACTCGGATAGTGGAATATTCCAAGCGCATCTGCGGAACTTGCATGAAAGAGACAGCTCAATTTAACATTTCTTTATAAACTACACAGAACACAGTGTACTTTCGCTACCATTGACATGGTGTATATATGTACATATTCACCAAAGGAACTGTTTTTCCTGAAACGTAACTATCAAAAATGAAGGCACATGGAAGCAGCAATTCCTGTATATACATTCTTGGACGATACCGCGAAAACGAAATATTTCTATCGAGAGTTTTCAAAGGATTTCATGCACGAGGCCTTGGCCGAGTGCATGAAATTCTTTGAAAACTCGAGATAGAAATATTTCGTCGCGGTAGAGTCCTAGATATTATTTCCTGTATGTTTCTTCATATCGTTCGTTATCTGCTTAAAAAAGGCCGAAATATGCATAAATAAAATACAGTAACAATAACTACACGTTAGATACTGAAATACTGGCAGTTCTAATTACTCAACAGTTCAGCAAAGCTTACAAATTTTCTTTAAAACAGAAGCCCTCGATGAAATCAAGCTATCCAAGAAAACCATCCAAGAAAACGTCTCGCGCAAAGTTTCTTGGATGGCTGGATTGCATTGCAAGACTGCATCAAACATACAGGAATGTTTGATGCAGTCTTGCAATGCAATCCAGCCATCCAGCCTCGTGCATGAAATCCTTTGAAAACTCTCGATAGAAATATTTCGTTTTCGCGGTATCGTCCAAGAATGTATATTCTTTATCACACCCCGCTATACTTGAGGCGGCAGTTAATAATGGGTACCTATGCTTTGATATCTTGGATGATGCTACGATAATAATAAATGCTGCACTTACGACCGAAATTACGACGGAATTGATGTCAGCAATTTGCACACTACAAACAGCAATGAAAATAATGAATTCATAGATTGCATTGGTGTTTAACCCGCGCCCTGCTGGGGGGGTGTTTGAGCACCCCCCCCCCCTCCCTTGTGGTTTTTCGCGAATAACTCAAAAAGGTGTACGTTTTTTAGTACACCTTATCATACATCAATTCTACACATGTTGTGAAAATTTCAGACCAAGGTCATTCAAGGTCAGGTCACCAGGTCACTTGAAGTGACCTCACCTCATAAAAAGTTTCAATGTCTGTCATAGCTACACCGAGTGACCGATCGCTTTGAAACTTTCAGCGATTGCTAAGAGCAATAGCATGTACAAAATGTATATCTCAGAATTTTGATATCGATGACCTAAGGTCAGGTCAATTTTGCGACCTCCCCATTAACCCGCGCCCTGCTGGGGGGGGGGGGTGTTTGAACACCCCCCCCCCCTGTGGTTTTTCGTGAATATCTCAAAAACGGCGGCGCGGAGCGCCGCCGTTTTTGGTATACATTATCATACATCAATTCTACACATGTTGTAAAAATTTCAGACCAAGGTCATTCAAGGTCAGGTCACCAGGTCACTTGAAGTGACCTCACCTCATAAAAAGTTTCAATGTCTGTCATAGCTACACCGAGTGACCGATTGCTTTGAAACTTTCAGCGATTGCTAAGAGTAATAGCATGTACAAAATGTATATCTCAGAATTTTCATATCGATAACCTAAGGTCAGGTCAATTTTGCGACCTCCCCATTATAAGTCAATGGGAGAAAATTCAAATGCGCCTCTTTTGGACGAAAGACATTATAAACACTCCCAAACACTGAATTACAAGTGGTTTAGACACACTGAACATGAAAATGGTGTCCGTGACCCCTGTTTATGCCCTGAGGTCATCTAAGGTCACGAATAGTATCTAACAGTTTTTCGCAAATAACTTTTGATAGAGGCATGCTAGAGCGATGAAAACGCCTTAGATGTGTTCAGCTCGACGATACGGATCGACTGATATGCAACACGACCCTTTCCGGTCAGGTCATGACCTTGACCTGAGGTCAAATTTTCAAGTTGACCTTTCAAGGTCAAGTTATAGTTCATTCGATGCGTCTTGACGAGAGGAACACGATGCCGGTAAAAGTAAGCTCGTACAAGGCTTGAGTCAAAAGTTATTGCAGAAAAACTGTTTCCGAAAAAATCGGCTATTTTTGCAGTTTTTGCCCCCTGCAGGCAAAACCGTTGACGTAAGGTCAAATCTGAGAGAATTACTCAGAAAGGGCGTTAATAGGGCTATCGAATGCGCTTTTCCGCGCCGCTGTAGCTCTATTGGTTCCCGAGTTATACGTTGGCTTCTTGGAAATTGTCGACATTCGACCTTGAAATCGGCGAAATTTTGCCTTCAATGACCTCTGGTGACCTGACCTTTGACCTGACCAAAAAATTGACCGAAGTGATTTCCTCATTATTTTTGACGCTCTTTCGAACGCCGCCTTCCGCGTGTCGCTACGTGGCCCAGGAGCCGAGTTAGAAGGGGGGGTGTTCAAACACACCCCCCCCCCCCAGCAGGGCGTGGAAATCCAGGACCCCCAGCCGGGCGCGGGTTAAAAGTCAATGGGAGAAAATTGAAATGCGCCTCTTTTGGACGAAAGACATTATAAACACTTCCAAACACTGAATTACAAGTGTTTTAGACACATTGAACATGAAAATGGTGTCCGTGACCCCTGTTTATGCCCTGAGGTCATCTTGGGTCACGAATGGTATCTAACAGTTTTTCGCAAATAACCTTTGATAGAGGCATGCGAGAGCGATGAAAACGCCTTAGATGTGTTCAGCTCGACGATACGAATCGACTGATATGCAACATGACCCTTTCCGGTCAGGTCAGCTTGACCTGAGGTCAAATTTTCAAGTTGACCTTTCAAGGCCAAGTTATAGTTCATTCGATGCGTCTTGACGAGAGAAACACGATGCCGGTAAAAGTAAGCTCGTACAAGGCTTGGGTCAAAAGTTATTGCAGAAAAACTGTTTCCGAAAAATCGGAAACATAGCCGACCTATGGTAGGCTATTTTTGCAGTTTTTGCCCCCTGCAGGCAAAACTGTTGACGTTAGGTCAGATCGGAAGGTATTACTCAGAAAGGGCGTTAATAGGACAATCGAATGCGCTTTTCCGCGGCGCTGCAGCTCTATTGGTTCCCGAGTTATGCGTTGGCTTCCTGGAAATTGTCGACATTCGACCTGGAAATCGGCGAAATTTTGCCTTCAATGACCTCTGGTGACCTGACCTTTGACCTGACCAAAAAATTGACCGATGTGATTTCGTCATTATTTTTGACGCTCTTTCGAACGCCGCATTCCGCGTATCGCTACGTGGCCCAGGAGCCAAGTTAGAAGGGGGTGTTCAAACACCCCCCCCCCCCAGCAGGGCGTGGAAATCCAGGACCCCCAGCAGGGCGTGGAAATCCAGGACCCCCAGCCGGGCGCGGGTTAACGTTATGATGAGCAACGACATGCATGACATTACATATAGCAAGATGTAAAATGACAAGTTACACAAATGAGTAGGGGAGAGTGGGTTAGTTTGGCCCCCTTTTTTAGAAAACGATGAAACTAAAAATCGACAACACATTTCTGCATTTTCTCAACGCTGACAGGTGTGGCATACATTTTACTTTCTTTGACAGTAAACTTGAAATGATAGATTAACTATTTATATTGAAATTGTGACGTATTACAAAGGTCTGCAAAGCGGCCAAATTGCCCCACTAGCAGGGTTATTTGGCCAGGGGTGTGGGGCAATTTGGCCGGTGTTAGTTTGAGGCCATGATTTTTGTTATAGGCGAGTCAGCTTCACTTTCAGCAATGACGTGTGTCCTACGACGCATCTGAAGCATTTTGGAGGTTGACTCAGCCGTCACAGTGGTCGAAAATAGTCAAAATAGCGGCTTTAGATGCGATGACAGCTTTTTACGAATAGCTTTTGAAGTAATCAAGCAAGGCCAAAACTAAAAGTACCATCGTAATTCTCTCGTCATTCCGCATCGAAACATGTATGTGTTGACCTCGAGAGGTCAAGGTCAAAGGTTGGCTTCAGGTCACGCTACCTCAGGTCGCTTGACCTCAAGGTTACGTGAGTTCAAGGTCATCATGTATATCATTCGATGCGCCTTGACGAGCTGAACACAATGAGGCCATTTGCGCGGCTGTATCTTTTTTTCTGTAAGTATTTATTAGCAAAAAAGCGTTAGGTAACTTTTGATGACGTCACATGCCCTTACAGCTGTCCAATAGGAAATATGGCATCAAGGTAGTCAAAGTTGGTCATGAATTATGTCCTTTATGGTATAATTGACCATGACAACTCGGCCGTCCCAGCATAGTGACTCCGAGCGCACCGGCTGTTATGGTCGGTAGTGGCGATTAGCACGGCGATTTCTCTGGAGCGGCACTGGGCGACCGAAACATGATGGCGGCGACCATGGAACTGTTTATTTTCTGCGTGTTTCCATATGACCGGGGGGTGAGTCCAAATGAAGGGAAAAAGGGAAAATGGAGGGAAAACATGCCCCAACACAACACCCCCCCTCAAGACGCATGCGTCGGTACAAGATACGCATTGCGTCTAACACAGAAAACAAAAATGTACACCACACACGGTGTGGACGCACGAACTCAGTCGTACGTCTGGTCCGCCCAGCGCACGGTCAGTCGGGCCGGACGGCGACGGCGGCGCGTCCCACGGCGCACTGAGCTGGGGTCGTCGGCGCTGTTCCGCAGCACCGGTGGTGCCGGCTGTCCGCCCGCCGGCGCAGCGGCGGCGGTCTCCTCCGTGCCGTCGGGTGCCGAGCTCGGAGCGGGCTGCTGCCGGCGCCCGGGTGCAGGTGTGGCGGCGCCCTCCGAGATGAGAGATCTCTGGGGTCGCAGATAGCGCCGGTTCCGCCAGTAGACTCGGCCACTGGGCAGCCGGACCAGGTAGTCGCGCCGCTGTCCGACTGCCGTGATGACGCCGACGCGGTCCCACAGCCCCGACCGCGGGTCTTGGACGAGCACGCGCTGACCCATGGTGAGCGCGCTGTGCTGTCGGGCTGTCGCGTCGTACCGCTCGGCTGTTTTCTGTTGCTGCGCCGCGGCCCGGGCGTCACAGTCGTCCGCCGCCCGCTGCCAGCAGTCAGCGAAGGCCCGGTGGTGCGCCGGCACTGCCGATCTCAGCGGGTGGCCGAACAGCACCTGAGCCGGCGAGCGGCCGTCGGCGCGCGGCGTGTTGCGCAGTTCCAGCAGCCCCTGCGCGTAGGCGTCCGTGTCGAGCTCACCGCTGCTGGTCGCCTTCTGGATGAGCCGTTTGGCGGCCTTGACCGCCGCCTCAGCGTGTCCGTTTGATTGCGGGTAGTGCGGCGTGGAGATCTGGTGCTCCACTCCCCAGCGGCGCAGAAACTCTCGGGTGAGCCGGGCGGTGAACTGGGGTCCACCGTCTGTCCGGAGGGTGGTGGGCACGCCGGTGGCCGCGAACATCTGGCGCAGGCTGCGGACCAGGTCTCTGGCAGTCGCCTCGCCGGCCACGTGCGACACAAACGGCCACCCGGACAGCCGGTCCGCGTACACCAGGAACGTGCGGCCGGCCCAGGCGAAGTAGTCAGCGGAGACAGCCTCAAACACACGTGACGGCGTCTTTTCCGGCATCAGCGGCTCCTTCTGCTGACTGGGCAGGTACCGCTGGCAGGCCGGGCACGCACCGACATGGTTCGCAATGTCACTGTCCAGGAACGGCCAGTAGACTACCTGCCGCGCGCGGCGTTTGGTGCGCTCGACGCCCTGGTGACTGGCGTGCAGGCGCTCGAGCGTGGCGCGCCGCAGACTGGGCGGTATCACGAGCCGCTGGCCGCACACCACCAGGCCGTCGTCCACGGCCAGCCGGTCCCGAACTCCCCAGTACGGTCGGAGGCGCGGGTCCAGCTGTGACCGGTGCTCGGGAAATCCACTCAGGATCAGATCGGTGAGTGCGATGAGCTCCGGATCGGCGGCGGCGGCGGCGCGCACTTCTGTCAGCGCCGCGTCTTTGAACGGGCTCGGACCGTCGTCCGCCCCGTCGGTGGCCAGCCGTGAGAGCACGCTGGCGAGTTGATGGCTGGCGTCCCTCTCGGCTTCCTCGTCCTCAGGCGCCGGGTCATCCACCGGCGCGCGCGACAGCGCGTCCGGGATGGCGTGCAGCTTGCCTTGCCGCCAGGTGGCGAGCAGGTTGAACGGCGCCAGCCGTTCTCGTAGCCGCTGGAGCCGCGGATTTTCGATCTCCGCGAGGCTCTTACTGTTGAGGATCGGGATGAGCGGCCGGTGATCGGTCAGGACTTCAAACCGCTGCATCCCGCTGAGATAGATGCTGCATTTCTTGCAGGCCCAGGCCAGGGCCAGCAGCTCCAGCTCGATCACGGCGTACCGCGACTCGGCGTCCGATAGGAAGCGTGAGCCGCACTGGATCAGTCGCCACCGGCCTGCGGCGTCTTGCTGCAGCAGGCAGTAGCCCAGGCCGCCGGAGCGAGCGGCATCAGTCTCAAGGACTGTGCGGCGGCGAGGGTCGAAGAAGTCGAGCACGGGAGGCGACGTGAGTGCCATCTTCACCGCGCTGAACGCCTGCTCGTGCGCTGGCGTCCACAGCCACGCGTTCCGCGGCCGCAGCAGCTGTCTCAGCGGCTCGGCGGCGGCGGCGACCTCTGGGGAGAAAGCGCCGAGCTGGGTCACCAGGCCGAGGAACGACCCTAGGTCGGTGATGTTGCCGGGCCTGGGGAAGGCCTGGATGGCACGAACTTTCTTGCCGTCGGCGGTGTAGCCAGCTGAATTGATGCGGAAGCCGCAGAATTCCACTTCATCTTCCGCGAACTGACATTTGTCCGGGTTGAGTGTGATGCCGTGCTGGTCACATCTCTTCAGGATCTGCCGCACGTGCTGCAGGTGGGCGGCGTAGTCAGCATCATAGGCCAGGACGTCGTCCACGACCTTACACGTGCGCGGGATGTCGCCGAGCGCGGCGTCACCGCGCTGGTTGTACACGTCGCCAGAGCTGACGATTCCCATTGGAGCCCTCAGGTACCGGTAGCGGCCCCACGGCGTGATGAAACACGTCAGGTCTCTGTCTTCGGGCCGGATCGGGACCTGGTGGTACCCCGCCTTGCTGTCCAGCTTGGTGAAGTATGCAGCGCCGGGTGAGACGGAGGCCACTGCATCTTGAGGCGAGCGGACCGGGTAAGTCGGTCGCTTCACGAACCGGTTCAGTTTCGTGAAGTCCACGGTCAGCCGGCAGCCGGACACTGTGCCGTCTGACGACCGCTTAGCAACAGGAACGATCGGATGACACCAGTCTGTGGGGTGCTCCACCGGCTCGATGATGTCCTTTTCCATCAGCTCGTCGAGTTGCAGTCGCACGTCCTCTCGCCAACAGAACGGGATATTCCGGGCGGTGGTCACAGCGTGAGGGACGGCGTCGTCCGTCAGCTCGATCTTCATCGGCTCCCCCGTCATCTTCCGCAGGGTCGACTTCGTATCGAAGACCCTCGGGAACTCGGCTTTCAGTGCGTCGAAGTCTGCCCGCCGCTGCCGTGCGGAGGGGGTGCCACCGGCGGCCGGGCCGTGCGCGCGGCCGGGCGGCGGCGCGCCTGTAGGGCCGGGCGGCGGCGCCCGCCCGGTCGGGTCGGCGCCGGCCGAGCTGGCGGCCGGCCGGTCGGCGGCAGAGACGCGGCTTAGGTCCCCGGTCTCGTCAGGTGCCGCCGTCGTGCCGCTGCAGCGCCGTAGTGAGGGCTGGCTGCCGGCGGCGGGGGCCTCGGGCGGCTCACCGGGCGGCGGCGGCTCCGGTGCCCCACCGTCCGTCCCAGTCTCGGCTGCCGAGCCGCGCTGACAAATCTGCCGCGGGAAGCTCGCCGGCAGAATTCCCAGGCCGATACAATCGTGCCACGACAGCAGTGGTGAGTGCAGTGCTCGCAGAACGGACACCTGCACGGTCTGTATGACGTCACCGAGCTGCAGGGTGAGGGCGCACGTGCCCACACAGTCCAGCCGGCGGCTGTCGGCGGCCCACAGCACAGCCGTGGAGGGCGTGAGGTCCGCTCTGCTCACTCCCATGGACTCGGCTTGTTGCAGTGAGAGGGCTGATATTTCGGCGCCGGTGTCGGGCGTCCATACGGTCGACCGCCTGACTCCGTTTGGCAGGTGCAGCTGTAGCCGGATTTGCGGCGACCGGTGGGCCGTCACACTGTTGAGGCGCGCGCCCGGCGTCCGGGCTGCCGGCGGCGCTGACTGCTGCCGGTTCCCCTTGTCTCTCGTGGTTGTATTCGCTGCCAGCACCAAAACCTGCCGGTGCGACGCGTCGGCAGCCGTGCTGTTGCCACGGCGGCGGCTGCTTGCGCTACGGTGGCGCCGGCCCCTCCCCTGGCGGCGGTTGCTCGCGCTACGGTGGCGCCAGTCCTGGCCCTGGTGGCTGCGCTCGGAACTAGGCGTCTGCCGGTGCCGCTCATCAGTGCCCGCGGCACGCCGGCAGACCGAGGAAAAGTGGTCCCGTTCGTGGCATCGGTGGCAGGTGCGACCCAGGGCGGGGCAGGCACGACCGTCCGTGTGCTGCGCGGCACCGCAGCGGTCACACCGCCGGGTCTGGTCGGCCGGGCGCGAGTCCGCGCCGCTCGGCCGACCGCGCTGTCGCCGGTACTCGGAGAGACGGCGCAGAGACGGCTCGCCCGGGCCACGGATCGCCGAGCTGTTGAGACGGGCGCTCTCAGACGCCCGGCACAGGTCGGCGGCCATCTGGAAGGTCAGATCGGGCAGCTCCAGCATGCGGCGTCTAGCCTCGTCATCACTGGTGCCCACCACCAGATGGTCTCGGAACCGATCATCGGTGCAGTTAGGGCAAAAATCACAGCAGGACGCTATCTCCTTCAGGGCGCAGATAAAATCGTCCACTGACTCGCCTGGCTCCTGCATCCGCATGTTAAACTCGCAGCGGTCGATCACCACGTTCCGCTGCCGCCGAAGGTGGGCGTGCATGGCGGTGATTACATCGGCCATGGACGCCTCGGCGGGGATGGGCAGGCCGAACCGAACAACGCGGGCCCAGTCGTCGTCGAGAACGGCGAGCAGGGCGGCCCGCTGCTCAGCCCAGTGGCGTACGCACATACAGGACATTCCGTGCATGCCCTGTCCCTTTGGCTCATCGTCCCCGGCGCCCTCAGTGACTGGCGCCCCTCTGTCCAGTGTTGGCGCTCCTCCAGTCGATAGCGGCGCGCTTCTAGTTGATGGCGAAGCCCCTCTGTCCAGTATTGGCGCTCCTCTGGTGATAGTGGCGCCCTCCTAGACGATATGGTGGGCCGGTGGCGCCCCTTTGTCCAGTATTGGCGCCCAGGCGCGGATCCAGGGGGGGGGGGCGACGGGGGCGGCCGCCCCCCCCCCCCGTCATCCGAAAAAGGCGCCCATATCCCGCGGCAGAGAGGGCGCCCCGAGCAGAAGAGCGGCGACACAGCAAAGGTTCAGCAGAAATAGGGCGCCTCCAGCAGAAGTTGGGCTCACCAAGCAGGAGAGTGACGCCCAATTGCCTATTCCCAGCAGATGAGAGTCGCCCCAGCAGCAGATGGGCGCCCCCAGCAGAAGAGGGCGTCTCGTTACAAGAATATAAAATACCTTCTGTTCAAGAGGGGCGCCCCTGGCAGCGGAAGGGCACCCTTAGCAGGAGACGTGTCCCCCTGAAGAGGAGCGACGCCCCAGCAAAAGGAGAGAGGCGCCCCCATTCCGAGAAGAGGGGCGCCCTGACAGCAGCTGGGCGCCCCAGCAAAAAAGGAGCCCCATAATAAGAAAATGGGTGCCACTGGCAGAAGAGGGGCGCCCCAGCAGAAGAGAGGGGTCTCCAGTAGGAGACGGGCGCCCCAAGCAGAAGAGGGGCGCCCCAGCAGAAGAGAGGCGCCACAGCAAAAGTTAATCAGAAATAGGCAGCCTCCAGCAGAGGTTGGGCCCGCCAAACAGGATATGGGCGCCCCATTGACAATATCCGGCAGAAGACAGACGCCCCAGCAGCAGATGGGCGCCCCCGGTAGAAGAGGGGCGCCCCATTACAAAAAGAAAAGGAGTATATTCTACCAAGAGGGGCGCCCCTGACGACAGCGGAAGGGCAACCCCAGCAGAGGGGCGGTGCCCCAGTAAAAGGAGAGGTGTGCCCCGCTCCGAGCAGCAGAGGGTCGCCTCGCCCCAGAAAAAAAAACAGGAGCCCCATAAGAAGAAAAGGGGTGCCTCTGGCAGAAGAGAGACGTTCCCCGCAGTGGAAGGGCGCCCCCACAAGAGTGGCGTCTCCAGCAAAAGAGAAGTGCCCCCTGCAAGAGAGGGGCACCCCACCAAAAGTTGGGCAGAAGTGGGGCGCCTCCAGCAGAATTTGGGGTCGCCAAACAGGAGAGGGTCGCCCTATTCACAGTAGAAAAGACTCCTCAGCAGCAAAGGGGCGCCCTAACAGAAAAGGTGCACTCGTAGTAGAAGTGGGACGCATCAGGAAGAAGAGGGGCACTTCTAGCAGAAGATGGGCGTCCCAGATAAGTGGGCCGCCTACAGCAAATTGGTCGTTCTTAGAAGGAAGAAATGAGGCGACTTAAGCAAAGTGGGTCTCTCCATAATGGATTAGGCGATCCAAGCAGAGGTTGGGCTCCCCCGGGAAGTGAGGCATACCAGCATAAGTGAGACGCTTCCAGAAAAAGGAGGGGGCATCACCGGGAGAAGGAGGACTGCACCAGTAAATGGAGGTCACCTTTTTGCCAATATCTTTTGCTAGGGTAGCGGTGCCCATCTACGACCCGTGCCGTGCTGGTGGTCTGAGTTTTCCGTGTCCTGCTGGGGAGGGGGGGGGCACACTCCCTCGTCTAGCTCGGCTCCTGGGCCGCGTAGTGACACGCGATAAGCGGCATTTGAAAGATCGTCAAAAACAGGACGAAAACAAAACGGTCATTTTTTAGGTCAGGTCGAATGTCAGGTCTTCAGAGGTCATCAAAGGTAAAATGTTGCCTGTTTCAACATTTTCCGTTTTCGAAGCAGCGGCACATAACTCGGAAACCAATAGAGCTATAGCGCCGCAGAAAAGCGCATTCGATAGCCCTTTTAAAGGTGTTTCTGCAAGCTGCGCTCAGATTTGACCTCAGGTCAACGGTTTAGCCTTCAGAGGGCAAAAGACTCTAAAAATAGCCTTTTTACGAACAATGTTTTCCTGCAATAACATTTGACTCAAGAGAGTCTCGACATTACGTTTGCCTGCATTGCGTTTCTGTCGTCGAGACACGTCGAACAAACTAAAGGTTGACCTTATGACGGGTAATTTTGAGAATTTGACCTCAGGTCAAGGTCATGACCTGACCGGAAAAGGTCATGCTGCATAGCAGTCGATGCGTATCGTCGAGCTGAACACAGCTGAGGTGTTTTTATCGCTCTAGCTTGAATCTATCAAAAGTTATTTAAAAAAAAAACTGCTGCGGACCTTTCATGACATGGGATGACCTCTGGGACATAATGAGTGGTCACACTAGGTGCAATGTTCTTATTCAGCGTGTTAATTTTATATGTATCCCAATGCTTGATATTGTCTAGAATGGCGCTCGTCCAAAAGAGATGCCTTTCAGTTTTCTCCCAAAGACTTAATTATACCTACCTACCTAATGGAGACGTCGCACAACTGACCTGACCTTAGGTCACAGATATCGAAATTCCGAGATATACATTTCATGGATAGTGTTGCTTTCATCAATCACTGAAAGGTTCAAAGCAATCGTTCAGTCGGTATAGCAATGGTAAGCATTTGAACTTTTTCTTAGGCTAGGTCACTTGGCATAACCTGGTGACCTGACCTTCCATCACCCGCGTCAGACATTTTTACAACATGTGCAAAAAAAGATGCATGATAAGGTATGCTGAAAATGGCGGCGCTGCGCGCAGCCGTTTTTCAGATATTTGCGAAAAACCTGAGGGGGAGCGCGATAACGCCCCCTAGCACGGCGCGGGCTTTTAGCTCCCGATTTTGACGGTTTGGCGCCCCCTTTGTATGGAGCGCCCCCGGATTGCCAGGTCGCCCCTATTTCGACTTGCCGCCCCCCCCCCTCCCGAAAATTCCTGGATCCGCCCTGTTGGCGCCCCTCCAATCGATAGCGTCGCGCTCCTAGATGATGGTGGGTGTCGCCCCTCTGTCCAGTGTTGGCGCCCCTCCAGTCGATGCCCTGGTCCTTCGCAAATTCCTGGGTACGCCACTGGCTCAGCCTCGGTGAGATCGTGGACGCCGGTGAGGAGGCAGTAGCCGGAGAACTTCTCTTTCCAGGCCTCAAACTCCTTGAGGGTAGCGGTAGCCGCCAGCCGGGGCGTGGGCGTGCCGGCGGCGGGCATTCGTGCACGCGGCCGGGCGCCGGAATCGGGCCCCGCAGCTGCCTGGGCGGGTGCCGTGGCGTCCTGCACGGCCGTCGGGCCGGGAAGCATCCGCTCCATCAGCGCGGCCATCCGCTCCTCACGTCGCGCTGCCGCTGCAGCCAGCTCCAATTGCTGCTGCAGCATGCCCCGAAGCAGCTCCATCTCAGACGGCTTCTCGGCGGCGGCGGCCGACTGCGCCTCATCGCCGCCCGCCATCTTGGACGCGCGCGCCGCACACAGATATCACTCGCGACGGGCGACACGAGCCCGAATCAGAGATTATCACGGCCGTTAGCGAAAGGTTAGATAGTTAGAAAAAAATTACCGACCGACCGCGCCATGTTATGGTCGGTAGTGGCGATTAGCACGGCGATTTCTCTGGAGCGGCACTGGGCGACCGAAACATGATGGCGGCGACCATGGAACTGTTTATTTTCTGCGTGTTTCCATATGACCGGGGGGTGAGTCCAAATGAAGGGAAAAAGGGAAAATGGAGGGAAAACATGCCCCAACACAACACCGGCCAAGTTGCCCCGCTAGTCCCGGCCAAATAACCCCACATTGCCATTCTGAAAATTTTTGTCTATAGAGTCGTCATGGCTGTACAGAACTAGATGAAATTGCTCTTGGAACCGCTGAACACCCTCGAAAAATGGCGCTATAATGTTGGAATTCGTTTAAAGCCCAAATACTACATGTTATACAAATTTTTAAAGGGAAGTAAAAGTTACCATTTTCTAACGAAATTTACCTTTTATTAATTTTGAATAAAACTAAGAGGGGGAAAATTTTGACATTTGTTCTCGAGTTAGTTCTACCGATGACAAATGAATAGAGACTAAAGTTATTTCATTCACTTTTATCAGCTTTCGTACAGGTGGGGGCGGCCAATTTACACCACCAGCCAAATTACCCCACTCTCCCCTACTATAGTTCGTTCGACCCTCACTATAAGCATTTCTTTGAACACAGCACGAGAATTGCTAGCTGAATTACTGAGGAAACTTGTTAGCGCGCATTGTTACGGAGCGAGCGAAGCGAGCGGAGTCTTTCGTTACGGGGCGGGCGAAATCTTTCGTAGATTAACGGAAATTTCGGACTATGAGCGGCCGGCTGGCCGGCCGGCCGTGCGGGCGCCTTTGCGAGGCTTATATCTCAGCGACCGCTTGACCGATTTACATGCGGTAATTTTTGTAGGGCAGCTTCATTCCTCACTACCAAGTATTGGACTATTCCCGGTGCATGTGGGTGACCCTTATGCACTTGCCACGTACAAAACGAAGAGGTGACAGTTTTGTAACAATTGCAATATATCGGTACTTATTGGGCCGATTGCGCTGAAGTTGGCACATGGGTAGGCAGTAGGCACCCAATAGGCAATGCATATTCCATGTGCCACAGTTGGGGTGCTGCTGCACGTGCGCACGTGCAGGGGTCGATTCCAGATCTCGAGAACTTTTAGACCGATTGCGCTTAAATTTGGCGCATCGCTAGGGACCAGTCAGTAGGTTGCAGTGCACAAGTTAACCCGCGCCCCACTGGGGTCTGCGTATAACACGCCCTACTGGGGGGGGGGCTATTCATAGCCCCCCCCCCCTCCTAACTCCGAAACTACTGGGCCGATCGTCAAAATTCAAACGGCGTCTGATAGCCCTGGAAAAACTGTCGAGCGGAAACTAATTTTATTGACCTCGAGGTCACCGATGACGTCACAGGCCAGGTCAAATAAAAATTATTAGCATTTTGGCTTCTTCACGTTTTGGGCTCTGGCCGCCGTCTTACAAGTCAGATCAGGCTCATTTTTGGTTCACACACTCGTGAACAGATGCTCTAGATACTCTGAGGGTACCAAACTTGTACTTTGATTTTCAGGCCAAGGTCAGGTCATCACAGGTCACGAAAATATTATATCATCCATCGGACACGTGACACATGTTTTATGCAGGCGCGTAACCACGAGTCTGAAGCTACTGGGGACCACATGGAGGGCCACGAATATTTTTTTCCGGATCAGCCTTCGCCCGAGTGTGTGTGGGGGGGGGGGAGGCGTTTTGACCACACCTGCCAGTTATTTGTTGCGCGTGATAAGGAAAACCGCGGCGCACACCGCTGCGAAACTTGGTTTGGCTTATGATACTTCAATTTCGCATCGTGTTTCAGGTCAACTTATAGTTCATTCGATGCGTCTCGATGAGACAAACGCGATGCCGGTAAAATCATCGTCATATGTACAAGCTTGGAGTCCCAAAGTTATGATGCAAAAACCTTTTCCGCAAAAACGCCAGCCTGGAAGCTAAACCGTTGACCTTGTCAAATCTGAGAACATTACTCAGAAAGGCCTTTGAAAAAGCTATCGAATGCGCTTTCCCGCAGCACTGCAGCTCTATTGGTTTCTGACTTATGAGCCTATTTGTGAAAAGTTGTCAAAATTTGGAACAAAAGTTCGTGAAAATTTTATATTTGGTGACCTCCAGTGACCTCAGCGATGACCTGATCAAAAATGGCATAGGTAATTCTGAAAGATACTGTAGCGAGCTATCTGTTGCTTTTTACCGCGTCTTTCTAGCTTGCTTACTTTCCAAGATAAATGGTGTGGCAACCCCCCCCCCCCCCACCACCACCACCACCACCACCATGGCGAAGTTGGCTGAGAGGCCCATCCGGGCGCTGGCTAAACAAAACATCCATAGTTTTGTTTTCCGTTGAGTCGTTGACTACATATTACGCTTCACGTCGATTTAGAGACAATAATTCGATATTTAAGCTAATTCAGGAGGTCGTCGGTTTTACTGGGGACGGTCCCCAGTAACCCAAAAGATACTGGGGACCGGTCCCCAGTGTCCCCAGTGGTGGTTACGCGCCTGGTTTTATGGTCCATTTAGGCCAAAAATTTCGAATTCGATGTCGTCTGTGTCATTCTAGGTCATTTTGAATCAAATTTAGCTTAGGTCAGGTCACTTTCAGGTCAAAAAAGGTCAAATTTTGAAGTTAAAATTTTTTCAACAAAAAAGGTGTCTTTTGGATGCAGTTTGAGCTCAGGAACACGATGGTGCTATTTATATTGGTGTACGATGTCAAATTCGTGCTGAAAAATGATTTGAAAAATTAATAATTGTTAATTTTTTGCAATAATGCGTATAACTTGGCCATTTTTGAAGATATTTAGCTAAAACTTGCTTGAGTTAGTCATAATAATGCGTTCTATCACATATATTCCGGTTTTTTTTCGAAAAGTCAATTTTTTTTTTTAAATTAAAAATATAAATTTTGAATTTTATTATATGACATTTTCGAAATTTTCAAAATTTCGAAAATCCTAGATAGCAGTTTGATAGCGCAGTCTATTCTGAGTCCTCTCTTGCAAAGAAATTGGATCTAGCTTAAAAACTGAGCTCTTGGGAGCGATTGCCGTGGTTCAATGTTTTGTGTCGAAATCGGCCGAACATGACGTCACTCTGACGTCCTTTCCGGCCGACCTATGGTAGGTACGAAGTTCAAATTTTGACACAAGGTGTCAAATTGATGCAGCCGAAGGTACTGAAAGTTTGGCGTCGATATGTCAAGCGGTTTGGAAGTTATTGCAGAAAAACGGGAGGGGGGCTATACATAGCCCCCCCCCCCCCCCAGTGGGGCGCGGGTTAATTGGAGGTAGGTACCCCATCGCAATTTCGCACGTGCAAGGCCCACCCTCTCGCTCGCTCCGTTGGTCGCCCCAAAAGGCTTTTTGCTGGTATTAGAGATATGAAAAATATTTCCAGAATAAGTTTTTAGCGCCGGTGATGTAGGTATCGTTATGTTACACGGCGCGCTATTTATTAATTAGTTTGTTATAATTCCTTTTGGTCCCATTCTTTCCATGCAGCGCCAATAGGGCTAATGTTAAAATACCTAAATATGGTGCCCCGGTGTCCACCTCGTTCTACCGCCTATGCTATGTACCAAGCTTCGAGTGTATGAAAAAGGATCCAGCTAGAAATAACTTTGGGGTATACAGTTGATCGTCTGTGAAATAAGTGAGTCCCAACCAGCTATCTCAGTAATTTGGCTACCAATTCTCGTGCTGTGTTCAAAGAGACGTTTACATACAGTGAGGATCGAACATAAAAAACAAACTTTCGTGTTCTGAGTATTAAATTTATGCATTCCTGATTTCGAGTGTTTTTGCGCTTATCTCTAAACGTGTTGTCTCAATGCGTGGGCGGGAAGTTTTGTTATGACATAATGCTGGGATTTTCGGAAGCGACCTGTTCTCTTACCAGTTTGACAACCTCACGAGTTTTAAGAACGCTTTTGCAGGCGACTCGCTGACTGGCTCGTGAGTATTCCGAGAAAAGGAGCATTGCTGATCAGTATCGATAGAAATAATACTCGCCAGAAAATGTTTTCTAGAGATGCGGATAATGAATAAAAACGCGATGCATTCAAGGAATTGTTCCGTGGAAGGGTTTCCCGTTTCATAGTCTGATGATTGGGAAACACACTGACTTGCATCATAATGGGCTGGGAATTGATAATGGGCATCATAATGGGCATAATGGGTGAAATTGATAGGAAATACCAACTTCCTCCAATCAGAGCATCCTACACGTAACTGATACTTCGTGCTAGTAATACCAATTGCTTTATGCTTGACATACCAAATACTAACTAAGTTGGTATGGGTTTGGTACCATCCTACCAAAAGTCGGTATCCGCGTAACGGCCAGTTTGAATTATATCAATTACCAGCCGATATAACTAAAGGCTTCCCTGACCCTCTAACAGCAGCAAAAACTATGTTTTCTGATATTTTCTCATCCATTGTGAGAAGCAAGCTGAATCTCACGAACTGAAGACATGTATAAAAAGGATTAACCCTCGGCCGCCGAGGGAAGAGGGCGGGTGCCGCCCCCCCCCCCCCCCCTCCCATATTTGCGATAGCTCCGAACACGCTGGCGATGAAGAGCTGCCACTTGGCATACCTGATCTTTGATTCAAGCAAGGTCTTTAGACATTGACCGCATTTTCGGGTCAGGTCAGGTCGCTGACTTATGACGTCATAAGTAAACCTTTGCACGGTCTTCAGATGTCTCAACTTCGCAACGCCCTCAGTGCCAGAGGGGCTTTCACAGGGAGATGAAACTTACAGAACCTAGAATCAATTAGAGGTGTCATTACTTGTATATCTCGGATTTTTCCTAAAGGTCACATGAAGTCAGGTCAGTTTCGTGACCTCACCATTGTAAGTCAATGGGAAAAAATGAAAAATGCTATTTTGGCGCCGGGAACGATCTTAAACTATATCAATTATCAAGCACGCGGAATCTTGATTTTTTGCACTTCTTGCAGGTTTTGCTGCTTCACTTTTGCATTGTTGACCTTGCGTGACGTCACTTATGACGTCACTAGGGTCATAAGTTTTTCGTCGATAACTCCTGATCAAATTGAGCTAGCGAGTCGGGAAAGCGACCAATGGACTCGGTAAGACCTGCCGAATGCCGAATCTTAAATGATATGCGACATGACCTCTTTCGACTAAGTTCGCGACCTGGGGGCTCTGACCTGACAGTGACCCGAGGTCAACACCTAAAGTTGACCTCACCTAAACAAAAAGTATACCGTTCGACGAGCCTGAGCAAGGCTAACATGATTCTGTCAAAATCGCGGCTCTGCGGCCATTTTTTGCGAAGTTATTTGCGTAAAATCGAATCCGTACCTTCAGTCACGTGACCTGACCTAAGAGGTCACTGGTTTACCTGAGGTATTAACCCTATAACTGATGGGGGTGGGGGGATTCGGCCCCCACCTGTAGTTTTTCCTCTCGACGGAAAACCACTCAAGCTAGGGGATCAAAACTTGGTGACTTTTCCTTGCTATTTATTGGGCACATTGTGCCACATTTTTAAGTTTCTAGCTTGCGCAGAGGCGTCTCCAGGACGAGTTTCTCCGGGGTAGTTATCTTTGCAAGAAGCGAATCTTTACTCATGTAGAACGTAGGTGCATTATCGCGACGGTGTCATGTAGTTTTCCCGCTCGTTTTTCAGCCACCACAGTTGTAACAGACATTTTTAATTATCAGATATCGGTGTAAGCTTTTTTTTCCTGGTTTGTATAAAATGAAATAAGATAAAAGTATTAACCCTCGCCGGCACAGGCCATTTCGCGTCCTTCGACGGCACAAGGGGGGGGGGGGGGTACGACCCCCCCCCCCCTCGCGTTTGGCCCCTGATCGAGCTAGAGCTTCGCAGAAAAAAAAAACGAGCGTGTTGCCCGTCACAAGAGGAAGCCGATGATAGCCAATTTTAAGGTCCTAAGTCATCGGGTGACCTTACAGGTCAGGTCAATGACCCGAAAACCGGGAAAATCGGGACCTGTTAGAAAGTCGTAAAGTGTGGCTGCTGTAACACATTAAAGGGAGATAATGACCTTTTTCCACAAAATCTGAGTTAGGACCATTTTCTGACAAAACACAACAAGTTATAATGGAAATTAAAACCATTTTGCTCAATTCGGTACCTTGCCGCAAATATCTCAACTTGAAGTCACGTTAGCGGGGAGCGCTGAAAATGACCGTTGAATAAGTACTTACATCACTTTTTGGTACTTGCATGTAATTTTGTAAAATGAGCGTATTCCTTACATTTGATCTTCATCACATCTAGTTAGTAAATGGTCGTCTATAGTGCCTTCAAAAGATATTCATGGTTTGGGGGTGGTTTATGTCTAAATTTACGCAACTATTTTTCCTGTTCATCATCTGACGCCATATGCTGCTATTTTAGTAGCAACGACTCAATTTTGAATCGGTCCCGCCGACTGCACAATAAAAGAAGATAGATACAACACTTTTGCGGCATCACTGAAAAACTTATGCAGTACTGTTATCAAAATTCTCATAACACCGTTCGACAAACCTGAAGTCTTTTTGAAATAAATATGCTTGTATTTTTCGCTTCAGGCTCTGACGCCAAAATAATGAATTTCGTAGTCGCAATCGCAAGATTTGGCTGCGTTTCTGGCGCATGCCGTTCATTTGTGGCGCAAAATAATGCTTGGAAACAAAGAAGAGTAGGCACTATGTACCCCCGAATTAGAATCTAATTAATTCTAATCTAATTCAAATTAGAATCCTTACAACCAAGCAACGACAAGGCGATAACATAAACAAAAACCCAAGCGTCGCTGTTTGAAACAAAAGCGCCATATACTGCGACTTTTTTATAGAGAAGGACAACGCATTTCGGTGGGTGTTACAAGTACTGCAAGTACTGCTTCTTTTTTGCAAAAATAAAAACCTTTTTCACATACGAAAATGTGCTAGGAAATTTTCATATTTTATAGAAACTACAGTAGAATTAGTATAGATGTCGAGTAATTTTTATTTAAGAAAAAAGAAAGCTCATTATCTCCCTTTAACTGTTCGCCGTGTTTACTTCTTGATAAAAAGAGTTCTGTTCGGTCACCCTTGTATTTCTTGAACTCGGTGTGAGCGACTCTCTCTGACTGTGAACCACTCGCTCTGACTGTGAACCACTCTCTCTCTCTCTCTCTCTCTCTCTCTCTCTCTCTCTCTCTCTCTCTCTCTCTCTCTCTCTCTCTCTCTCTCTCTCTCTCTCTCTCTCTCTCTCTCTCTCTCTCTCTCTCTCTCTCTCTCTCTCTCTCTCTCTCTCTCTCTCTCTCTCTCTCTCTCTCTCTCTCCCTCCCTCTCTCTCTCTCTCTCTCTCTCTCTCTCTCTCTCTCTCTCTCTCTCTCTCTCTCTCTCTCCGATTCTCACTTCCTGACCGATTCTGCTCTGACCGATTCTGCACTGACTGTCCGGCGGCGGCCGGCGCAGTCGACGACTCAGAGTAGGGGTCGCCTCGGTCGTCGTCGGTCGTCATGCATACAATCTCTGACATATGGCCTACAGCATCTGACAATGTTACAGCTGCTATGGGGTTTTCCGGGGTGCTGATCACGAATATCGTATAAGTTTTGATCAGAGATGATGTCTTTAAGCATTTAGACCAGGTCGGGTCAGGTCAGGTCAGGTCAACCGGTGGGGGTTGTGACGGGTATTCGTAATACGTGTCAACCGCCTCTGACAGCTTCGTAACATGTTAGGAAGGCTTCAAAACTACTTCGTAAATGTTCAAATGGTTGCTAAATTCGAATTCAGCTAAAAAAAACTAGCCTGGAAACATGTAAACTCGAAAACATTTTTGATTCCACCGAAGAAGAACCAAGTTCGAAAATATATTCTGGACCTTTTTTCAATTAATTTATGTGATATTATGAGCACAAGGTCAATTTTACCATTTTCATTAAACTCGAAAAAGTGAACCGAGGTCACCCGAGGTCACCAAAGGTCAATGACCTGATCTGACCTTCAGGTGACCTTGGCACCCACCCTAATGTATGGAAGCAGCATCAAATCACATGTTTGAACGTTTGAAACCACGAAAAGCTTGCAAACGCGCGGCTAATGCGAGCCAACATACGCCGAATCGCGATTCCGGCCAAACATGGTCTCGGATAAGAGGTCACAGGTCAGAGGTCATTTGGGTCAGGGCATGAAATTTTCAGAGTAGGTGTGAAATTGATCAATGCGAGGGTACTGTAAGTTTCGTCGCGATCGGCCGCTTTGTACGCGAGTTATTCGCGAAAAACCTTAGGGGGGGGGGTTGCATCAACCCCCCTCCCCTGTGCCGGCGAGGGTTAACATTAATGGCTGTAATCGTATCAGTCTTAGCTGTCATTGACGACCTCATCTTGATTCGGCATCCGTAAATCCTAATCGTCTTTAACGACATGATGTATTCGATGTCACGAGTGATCTATGGATGAATCCGCACGCGACTCAAACTTGCACATTTAATGGTGTATTGCATGCCCGAAAGGCACGCACAACATGTGTTTTTTTTTTTACGTTTTACCTTGTTCCCGCTCGTTTGATGAATATGACCGGCTTCATTCAGCATGCTATAGCACAAGCATAATAAACCCACGAAACCTCTAAAATTGCACATTTATTATGGAATGACAACAAGTAATGCACAGCAATGAGCAAACGATATACAGTCACACTGTTTCCTTCAAGGAAAAACTTCCACGAGACTGACATCGCATGGTTCCAAAAGATAAAAGGCACATTTTTGTCTGCACTGAGAATCAGCGAGCTGACGTCGCATGGTTCCGAAAAGGTGTAAGGGTATATTTCAAGCATGCACTCAGAATCTGTGGATTAGCGGCCGAAAGTGTTGCCGAAAGTCGTCTGGCTAGTGGTGACCCGAGTGCCACCGACACCGAGTCCTGTGCCGAGTCCGAGACCTGTGCCGAGTCCGAGGCCTGTGCCGAGTCCAAGGCCTGTGCCAACACCGAGGCCTGTGCCGAGGCCTGTGCCGAATCCGAGGCCTGTGCCCAAACCCTGGAAATGAGCAGCGTTTGTTGTCACGGAAGCATGTACCTTAACCCGCGCCCCGCTGGGGGGGGGCAGAATCTGCCCCCCCCCCCTCCCGTTTTTCGCCAATAACTTCTAAACGCGTTACGCCAGCGACGTCAAACTTTCAGTACCTTATCATACATCAATTTGACATGTTCCCTGAAAATTTGAGCGAAATCCGTCGGAAAATTTTTGAGAAATTGACGTTTTAGTGACGTCATGTTCGCCATTTTCGCCTCAAAAACGGCAAAATTTCAAACGCCGCTAACATCTTCATTTTTAAAGGAATCAAGACGTAACAAAAAAGGTTATACGTTATTCTACTTTGTCTATCAAATGGCTATCTCGGTTTTTTGAAAATTTTGGATTTTGGCCAAATTTTTTCCAAAAAACTGACTTTTTAGGGAAAATATTTATAAAATCCAAAATTTTGAGTTTATCGAAAAAACCGGAATATATGTCAAAGAAGTGGTCCATGTGCACCTACATACACATTTTTAGAAGAATCGGTTCAAAAATGTGGGAGTTATTCAAAATTTTATGACGTCACGACACACAAAATTTTTGAAAAATGATTCTTTTGGAAGTTCTAGACCTCGTACGGAAACAAAAATAGCACCATTCGATTCGCCGTGAAAAACTGCATCGAATAGACACCTTTTTAGGCCTTAACAATCAACTTCAAAATTTGACCTCACTTGACCTGACCTTGACCTGACCTCGACCTGAAATTCATCCAGAGGTGGTCCATATCACTTATTGAGTGTGCCTATTGAATTCCATGAGTAAAATGACCCATAATACATGTGTCGCACATGCCCTTTTCTATATTTTGTTTTTGGTGACCTGACCTGACCTGACCTGACCTTGACCTTGACCTTTGAATGACATTGTGTGCAACGAATATTGTCTTGGTATTCTAAGAACACGTTTTGGGCAATCAGTCTCAGTCCATTCTTCGGCAACTACGGTGCAAGGCCGATACTGTAGAAACTTGCATTTTGTACCCTTGACCTGACCTTGACCTGACCTCTGACCTACTTAAGCAAAAAAATTTGGGCTCTTAAGATCCGCCTTGTTGAGAGCTTTCGATTGCCGTTTTCCCCGTCTTTCTACGACCATCGGTTCGGAAGTTAGACAGGGGGGGCAGAATCTGCCCCCCCCCCCAGCAGGGCGCGTATGGCTGAATAGCCCAGCGGGGCGCGGGTTAACCCTCGCATGTGTAGGGGGGGTCGGATGGACCCCCCCCCCCATGGGGGGTTTCAGTACCCTCGCATTGATCAATTTTACACCTACCCTGAAAATTTCATGACCCTGACCCCAATGACCTTTGACCTGTGACCTCTTTTCCGAGACCATGTTTGGCCGGAATCGCGATTCCGCGTATGTCGGCTCGCGGTAGTTTTTAACACGCATTAGCCGCGTGTTTGCAAGCTTTTCGTGGTTTCAAACGTTCAAACATGTGATTTGATGTTGCTCCCATGCATTAGGGTGGGTGTCAAGGTCACCTGAAGGTCAGGTCAGGTCAGTGACCTTTGGTGACCTCGGTTCACTTTTTCGAGCTTTACATGTTTCTAGGCTAGTTTTTGGAGCTGAATTCGAATTTAGCAACCATTTGAACATTTACGAAGTAGTTTTGGTGCCTTCGTAACATGTTACGAAGCTGTCAGAGGCGGTTGACACGTACCACGAATACCCGTCACGACCCCTACTGGTTGACCTGACCTGACCTGACCCGACCTGGTCAAAATGCTTAAAGACATCATCTGTGATCAAAACTAACACGATATTCGTGATCAGCACCCCGAAAAACCCCTTAGCAGCCACATTTTACGACTTTCTAACAGGTCCCGATTTTCCCGACTTTGGGTCATTGACCTGACCTGGAAGGTCAACCAATGACCTAGGACCTTAAAATTGGGTATCATCGGCTTCCTCTCGTCACGGGCAACACGCTCGTTTTTTCCGCGAAGCTCTAGCTCGATCAGGGGCCAAACGGCAAGGGGGGGTCCAACCGACCCCCCCCCCCCCCCCCCTACACATTAGAAGCTGGCAAACGCCGCACACATGCGAGGGTTAAACAGAACACTCATGACAGGAGGTCATTCGCTAAAATATTTTTAACCCCAAGGCCGTATATAGGAGGTAGCGACACTCATCAATTTGTTTACAGCCAGTGTCAAACCCAATGCTGCAAATGTGTCGTCACTGGACAACATAATATGCCGCCTCTAAGGACACAAATGCAAGAAATTCCCGGATAAAGACAGCAGTGACGTCACCGGGCTCGAAACCAACGACACTAATACTCTACCCATGGCGAAGCAAAGTATCCCCTGATTAACCCCCTGTCGACGATTCTTTTTTGCGATTTATCAGAAGGCGCTAGCGATAGCTATATATAAATCGCATTTGCATTGAAGGTCAGGTTTCTGTCTTGTTGCCTCATAGATCAATCTCTGCGTCTTCGCGACTAAAAAATGACTTGCAACGTCCTCAATGCCAGAAAATGAAAGAGATGGGAAAGACACCAAGTAACTCAGGATGAGCTGTCAAATAAAACATCTTGCAATATAAAAGGACTTGCCTTTCTCGATCAATGTGGACTGAACAACTTTGACCTCGCCTTAACCTCATGTTAACACTAAAATAATCCTTTACCGGAAAAGAAGTATATCATTTATGGCCGGTGAGCATGCTAAATAGTGAATACCGTGGTTCTAAAATTATGCCTCTGTTACTTGTTTTTGACGACGCTATTCTAAGCAAAAACCGCACTTTGGGTATTTCGGCCTGTGATCTCAGCTGAGAGCTCACCAGTTTATCTGATTTCTTAGGATTGGGAAACATTCGTACCTTGCAACGCGTAAACATGTTAGCCCACGCTGCACGCATACAAAAAATATTCGCGAAAAATTATGGATTGAACGGAAATTGATTACATTTGTAACGAGAAACTTTCTCGATTCTGCGAGGCCTTTCTCAATTAGGTGGGCGATGCGGCAGGAAGAGATCGCATCTGACTTCCCCCCCCCCCCCCCCTCTTCTCTTTGCGCCACGCCGTTTCTAGAAAATGGACGGGTCTCGGAAGGTGGGCTTTCATGATGAGAATGGAAAAGTACATTTTACCTTATGTATATAACATTACGTAACGCAGCCAGCAAATGACGTACCAAAGGACCTACGACTGAACGCGCGCAACAGTAAGCCGTTTTACCATTAGCTGATTAAACTGACTCTACCCGCTTCAAGAACACCCTCCTACCCGTCAGATTACACGAATCAGCTGAACTTACGCCCGTGGTGAGACGGCTGGTTCCAAGGGTTCCGACAGTTCCAAGACCAGTGCCCACACCCAATCCCAACTGGGGCCTGGCAGCGACGGCCACCAGCAGGCAGGCGAGAGCGACGGCGGTCTTCATGATGAAAGGCTGCAAATGAAAGAACAGGGTTAACGACCGAACCCGAACGGGTCACTGGAGGCCTGGTTACTGGCGACGGGACTATGGGGGGGGGGGGGGACTATGACGATGTGATGGGCTATGGGATTATGACGTAAATAACCCGTTGCTATGCAAAATAGTAAGCCAATTGCCAAGCGTAGTTAGTGGTCATGTCAGAACATGATGCCCCCCCCCCCCAAAAAAACATTCCTAACTTAAGAGCTTCAATGACAATGCCGCTCATACTGTAGATAATGAAAATTTTTGTGTGCAGCCGGTTTTCTTCAGCCATTTTTCTTTTTTTATTGATCAAAGCATTGTACACCGCACACGTCAGCAGCATATCACAACAAAAAGTAACGCTCGCCCGGCTTCTTCAACCCTCCCAACGACGCGGAACAGGACGGTAAGGTCCACTCCTTCTCAACAAACACGTCTTGCGAGCCGTATCATACGTGGCGACGAGTCACATTTCAGCCATTGTTTGCTCAAAATTTAATAATTTTTTGGCCATTCGTTGTTCTTTTATTGCATTTGAAGTAAAAAAGCGGCCCCATGAATTTTCCCCTCTATCAATTTTTGTCATTCTTCGTCATCGTATGCGCCGTGAGATTGGATCGCTTCTTCTTCGGCGCAGGTGCTTTACTGGATGTTTCGCCTGATGCTAGCCGTAAGCAACTCCCTTCTTGAAGTTGCTATGCTATGACTGCCCTCAGGGTTTTGATGGAGCTGGTTAATGGACACTGGACAGTGGTGCGTGAACATCCAGGTTTTTGGTGACTTGTCTGTCTGAAGTTCCCGGGCAGTTATCTTCGGAGAAGAACTACTGTTTGATTTCTTCTCTAAACTTGATTGTCAGAGCGTGCACTGCACATCCTCCTCTAGTTACTGCTCGGCTTACTCGAGCCCCCTTGCTACAATTTCTAAATAAATATTTATAAATTGTTCGTCGTATTTTGAAGTTGAAAATTCCTATATCAAACAAGCACCACGCCAATTTTTTTACTCCAATGACATTTTGATGAATTATCTCATAAACAAGCTGGATGCAAGTTCGAGTCCTGAGGTCATTATATTGTTATCAGTGCAAAATTAGTCATTAGTAGTGCAAAATTAATTGGAATACGTATTTGTCTGTGATGACTATGTAGGTTACAGTTATGACATACTCGTCTCGGTATGGGCAAGGATCAAATTAGTCTTAAATTGTAAAAGGGAGAAAAAGAGTAAAAAGGCAGCGCTTTTAGTTTAAGTTCAAGTTATTTTTTCATAGGCATGCTATTTGACTCAAGCCTTACCATGACATTAAAATATGTCGCACTTAGATATCATAAAAAGTTGTGTTATTTAACGAATGTTTTAGGAAAGGTTCGACTTTTAAGTGGGGAAAGTTTTATCGCCACAGGGTATGAATAAACAATCGAAGATACGATTTTGAGGCTCATATCAGATGACAAGAGCCTCATGCTTGCATTGTCTCTTTCCTTGGTCATTACAAATACGTTTGGTAGCATAAAGCTGAGGTTTAGTAGCATATGGTTATCTCAATTCAATGAAAAATTAAACTGACACCAAATAGTAAATTGAAGTGCATAAAATCAATTCAGACATACACCAAAGAGTAAATGGTAATTGAGGTACATAAAATAAATTCAGACATTCGATGCCATAAATAGACACTGATCAAAATTTTCCTAATTATGCCACTTGATTTTTCGCTCACTCATGACTTCACTAACCTTAGTGCGTTACAGAGGTTCTGTCACAGAGGGAGTCGTACGCTGAATGATGAGACTTGCGTGGCAGTCTCACCTTATATAGTGGGTATTGGCATGGGTTTATCCAAAATGCAGACAAGTCTGCGGAATTCTGAGAACCCCAAAGCCGTGGTGACAGCGAGATTCACTTTGACGTTCGTTTCCCTCGTAAAGTCGTGCTGCTTCCTACAGTGCATGTTATGTAAGAGACGAGTGTCATACCTGTCATACTTGTTTCGTGTGCCTTTTTGTTGTTCACTGTGATAAGTTACGCATAAGCGTCATGCCTAACTTTTATCTTGGATGACCAAGATGCTAGGCGCTTGCCGCTTGGATAACACATTGTTCCTGTTTCACACTTAAATCGTAATATTTGTAACAGCGTTGATCTCGCTTGTCTGGGCTGTGACTAGATGAAGTATGTGATTAAGGTAAGTAAATTGTGTAATTAAAGTAAGTAAATTAAGTAATTGATTAATTTATGCAATTTAAGTAACTAAATTAAACAAATTAAGTAATTAAATTAAGTAATTAAGTAAAGTACACCGAGCGTAAGTGTTGTTGTCCATGATTGTTTTTGATAACTAAATCGGTCTGACCGCCGACATTGGTTTATGACGCGCTAAGGTCGTGTCATCAGCTCACACTTCGTGACATTTAATCAGCATCTTCCTCTTTTCCCCCAGCCTCGGCTAGCGACCCAATGCTCAACGGCGCTGACAGCCTTGGCCCCTCGCTACGAGTACCGGTTATTTAAGTGTTACGTGTACAGGTTATGTTATATAACTAGTATTTGTCCATAAGCTATCAGCAGCCTAGGAATGCTGGATGATGATGAATATAAGCACAGCTGAAGCGGCCGGTACTTAGAATCTCATACTCCTTTGTGTTTTTATTACATATTACGGAATTTTGATCTAAAATTTCCCCAGCCGCACTTTGTCATCTGACGCTTATAAGTTATAACATGCGAGGAAATATTTGCCAAATCTTGCGTTGCAATCGGGGATAGCGAATCATGCGTTGAGATGAGATGAGATGAGAGATGATTTATTTGAGCATCCATATTTACACTTGTCGAAACATTACGATTGGCGTAGAAGCGCTATGGCGCTTAAAACGAGACGCCGCTCGAAACACGTAGAAAGCAGACAATAACACTTCTAATTGAACACTACTAATCACTACTGATCTTAATCAAAATGTCAATATTAACATAGCGAAGTCGACCCTGCCTTGGCCGAAGCGCCTGTCCCCGCCCCTACTCGCGCCATTGCTCTGTATTCCGAAATGGAAGTGCTGCTCCTAGTTCTAGCAGGCAAATCTCCGCGTTTTGAGTATATAGCTCTGGACGGCCATGGCGGTGTCATGGCGGGTAACCTTCATAACTCGCGAAGGCCCATTTAGCAGTGTTTCTATTTTCTTTTTCCGAGGAATGTTTTGAAAGTTCTCACTGAGAATTTCAGTTAACCTTTCGAACAATTCTTCTCGTTCTGTGCGAAAGAGTGGACAGATTAGGAGGAAATGCTCGTTGTTTTCTGTAGCAGCACCACAACTGCACTTAGCTGAATCACTTTTCCCTAATTTGAATCTGTGGTCTTTAAGATCTGATGAATTAAGCCTGAGTCGGGTGTGAAGCCGGTTTCCAATTTTGGAACCTGTGCTTAGGTAGGAGCTAGGTGACATGTTTATACCGGCATATGCATACAGCCTCTTTTTGAAGAATTTTTGGCTGTGTTCGGCTCGTAAGTCGTTGGGTAGTTCGTTCCAGATTCTTGTTGTTGTTGGGATGATAGATCTCGCGTAGGAAGCTGAGCGGACTGCTGGGATGGTGCGTTGAGTGGACTGTGTGCATCGCAGACTTCTCTCTATCTCTAGGTTTCTCGTTTTGGGTATGATGTCTTTTATAAAGTCCGGAACACGATCATCTAATGCTATCTTGTGATAGAGTTGCACTTTGTGGGCGCGACGTCTGTCTACTAGTGAGGTCCAGCCCAGCTCTTTCCGGAGGCCCGCTGTAGACGTCCTTCGAGGTGTGTCAGTGATAAGGCGTGCCGCCCTGTTCTGTGCTTTCTCTAGTCGGGACTTGTCAAATGCTGTCAGACGGCAATCAAATATTGAGTCGCAGTAGTCGAGATGGGGCTGGACATACATTTGATAGATTTGAAGTAAGATTTGTCGTGGAAGTAGAGATGCTATTGGGAAGAGAGGACTCATCGTGCGGTAAAATTTTGATAGGATGTTGTTGACGTGAGACTTGAATCTCAGATCAGTTGAGATTGTTACTCCAAGATGTTTGTGGGAATCGCGAATGGGAATTGGTGAACCGCCAAATTCCAGGCATGGAATGTGTGTTTTTTTGTTACTAAGCGTTTGTTGGACTGTTTTTGTAGCATTAAATGTTATCATCCAGTCGTCTCCATAGCGTTTGATGCGATTTAAGTCGATTTGCAGTGATTTTTCAACTTCATGAAAATTATTAACATTGTGACTGGCATGTAAGGAGCTGTCATCCGCAAAAAATAGCATTTCATTGTTGGTAACGCTACTGAGCCCATTTAGATACATTATGGCCAGCAGTGGGCCTAGGATGGATCCCTGTGGCACTCCTGCGGATAACTCACGCTGGGTGGACGTAGTTTGGCCTAGCTGGACTACTTGTCTCCTGTCACTTAGATAAGAGTTTAGCCAATCAAGTTGTGCACCTCTTATACCAAATTCTTTATCACATTTTGCTAGCAGCCCCTCATGCCAAATCTTTTCGAAATATCTTGATATATCCAGGTAAATGATTGTGTAATCCTCACCCGAGTCTATGGCTCTATATAACCTGTGAGTTAGATAAGCAAGTTGGAGCTCTGTGTTGTGACCAGGGCGATAACCACTTTGTTTTTGTGTTAAGAGCGAATGACTGTGAATGTGCTCATATATCTGAGTGAACATAAGTTTTTCGAATATTTTCGATAGACACGGCAGTAAGCTTATTGGTCGATATGATGCAGCCTCAGATGGGGAGCCCTTCCCTTTAAAAATTGGTTTGACTGTGGCTTTCTTCCACTGAGTTGGGTACCTGCCTTTTTGGACTGATTTGTTTAAAATTCTGGATAGAGGCTCAGCAATGTAAGCCGCTGACATTTTGATTAGTTTCGCCGGTACGCCGTCGGAGCCGGTGGCTTTAGACGAATCCAGCCCATTGATGGTCTTCAAAACATCTCGAGGTGTAATGGGAGAAAACTGGAAGGTGTGCTGAGTGCTGTTATATGAAGATTTGTATTCGCGTACGAGCTGTAAGTGTTTATCTGTAATGTTTATTTCTGTCTGGGAGCAAAAGTACGAATTGAGGGCCTCGGCCTTGCGGTGGTCGTCACTTACAAGATCATTTTCGACAATCAGAGGAGCCATAATGGAGTTTTGCTTGAACCCCGTAACGCTTTTCAGGATTTTGTGGTATTTGTAAGGGGTTTTCTTGCTAGTGACAAGTAGATGTACTTTGTGTTGAATGGTTTCATTTTTGAGTTTTCTATTAAGGCTGGTTACAAGGTTGCGCTGAGATCGCCAGATCGACCAATCTCTTTCTGAGTTGTGACGTTGAGCAAGCTTGAATAACCGGTCTCGTTTACGCATTTCGCGCCTCAGCTCTGCTGTTAGCCACGGTTTGTGATTGCGGATCTTTACGGTTTTCTTTGGTATGTGAGCTACTGCAGTATGCAAGATGGCTTCTGTTAACATTTCAATTGCATCATCGGTGTCGGCATTTGTTATGGCGCTCCAGTCTATGTTTCTCAGTGTATTAATGAAACCGTCAACGTTGGTATTTGAGTAGTCCCAGCGGGTTGTTGTTACATGTCGGTCAGCGTCGATTTTCTGAAGGGACAAAGAAATAAGTAGAGGGAAATGGTCGATGTTTGAGAAAGCCGGTAAAACTCCTGAAGATTTAATTAGTTCGGTTCGGTCTACAAAAATCAAATCTCTTAAGTTGTGGGTGTCCCCTTGTACGCGGGTTGCTGTGTTAATAATTTGAGTTAAGTTTGACGCTTCAGTGATATTTTTCAGTTTGTTTTCGAAAGTGGTGATGGGGGAGTGGTTGGGTGAATTACTAGGCAGCCAGCAGTTTCCAGCATTAAAATCGCCAACGAGGACCAGAAGATCGGGACTATGCTGTTTAGCTTCAAGGACACAGTCAGACAAGTAATCTAGGAATTGAGATTGTCGGTCGCTAGTGGTGTTCGGTGGAAGATAAACTGAGCAGAGCAGCAGCGTCGTTTTATGGAATTTGATTTTCACCCATAGGGTTTCAAAGAGCTCACACTCAAGATGTGATATTTGCGAAAAAGGTAGTGTGTCTCTGACATATACTGCAACTCCTCCGCCCATCCTTGTCCTGTTTTTTAGTAATGGTGCATGAAAACCTTTCAGAGAGTAAAGACTGGAATGTATAGTGGTGTCAAGTTTTGTTTCAGATAGTGCTAGTATGCTAATATCGTTAATGTCAACGTAGCTTTGAAGCTCCTGTAGCCTTTCGTTGGCAGTGATGGAGTTGATATTAATTGCGGAGATGTTAACACCATCGATTCGGAGCGTACCAGTTACTGGTGGCATTGTGGGCACGGGGAAGGCGCTTCGACTGGCGGCGGGTGGCGAGAGAACAGTTCACATAAAACAATGTGCAATGTGGGCTATGGCTTAACTTTTGGCAAGATGACACTGATTTTGAGAGATGAGCAAGTACATCCGCATACTTTTGTCTCTATGCGTCGAGAAAGCGGAGATGATAGACATTGATAGCTCCGAAACGTTAGAGCAAATAAAAAAATGACATACGACGACTGGGCACAGCTATCGTTAACTCGTGCATCGTTGTGAGGTGGGAAATCATATCACACTGAGCACAAGACAATATATGATGGGCAATATGCAATATACACAAGGTCATGAAAAGTGATTTGGTTATGTTTAACACTGGACGCATGTACGGCCGGCGCTGTACGAACCGGCACCGGAAACCCAGCCCCAGCCGGGAGGGCGGGGGGGGGGGGGGTGCCGGCCCGTCTGGGAGATGGGGTGTCACTACTCACAGCGTAGGCCCGGCTCGCCTAACGGTCACCGCTCGGGAATCGTTCCCTGTCGACACGCCCACTGTCGGAGACTGCGGGGTGAGCAGCTGATTGATGAGGTGTTGCCTGAGTCCGAGTATTTGCGCAGCTGCGCAGACCGTCCTTATAATGACTTCGATGGTCGGCTGGTTAGCTCAGCGGCGGGGGCCGTCCCCTCAGTCGCCCCGAACGGCGGGGGACCTCCCGCGGCGGCGCTCGGTCACCCACGCGTTGATGGCGTCAGAGGCCTGTCAGGCGGGCCCCGACCCGCGGCGCGCCGAGCGGGCTGGCTCGGTCTCCCGTGGTCGGAGTTCCCGGAAAGCGTCGGCTCCCACGATATCTTCAAGGTCAGCTGGCTCTTTGATTGAGACTGCAATGTCTCCCTCTGTCTTCTTCACGCGCACACAGCCGTTGGTCGTGTAGGCGGCCCACAGAGACTTTCGTTTCCGGAGCTGCCTAGCCAGGAAGAATAGCTGCTGGTTCTTAGCTGTAAGGCACTCTGACACAAAGATGCGGCTAATAACTGACCGGGTCAGCACCGGATGGCCACCCACCTTTTCAGCCGTCAGCTCCTTTCGCTTATCGAAGCGTTACCGTTACCGGTAACCATTTTGACTATGTGTTATTGGTACCTAACTAATTATATCATGCTAAGCAGGGGACGTAAAATTGAGGCCGCAGAGCCAGATCAAGTCTAAAAATCACCTTTGCTGTTAAGCATAACTGCCATGTACATAAATCAGGTCATTCGGCTCTAACCTTGGCTCTAACTTGGTTCTAATCTCAGTTTTTCCAAGGCCACTGAATATGGGAAGTCGTTTTACAGCAACTGCGCTTAGTGTAATGCTATTATGCACGTGCAAAGGCTGAAACCGACTCTTTCGGCAGTCAGGTAATCGCATGCATGAACCTATTCTAATACATTTGTTCTGGCTCGCACCAATCGTCCCACCGAGGAGCGTGCGATTAATGTGAGTGAGATCTCTGCAGCCTTAACGGTGCAAAGATAAAAGTAAGGATTGCCGATTGTAACGATGCTTGCTAGTTGCTACCCTCACGCAACTTCCGGAGAGTTCAGGTGTGCGCTGTGATCATAGTTGGCAGCTGCGTATTATGTAATGGACATTGCTTTACGCGTGTTACGCACTTCCATGTCGCGTGCGCGGTCAAATAGAAATGTGATGGCAATTCATTTATGGGAAAGGACATGGTCTGAACCAATATCTAAATAGGATGGAATGCATCTGAGCAATGTGTTGAATCGTAGATGTGATGTTGCATAATGCATATGACATAGCTAGTCAAAATTGTTAGTTAAAGGGACTGTCCCACCTTTACATTAGTTCTGAGTTGAGATAGACAAGTTGGCGGCCAGGTTCAGAAACCACTATATATCCTGGTCGCAATATCCTCAGTTTCGTGGTGTTAAAGAAATTCGTTCCCTTCATTTGAAAAGTGGGCCTTAGCTAAGGCCCTATCTCTTAACTATTAACGGCCATTTGATGACGTCATTTGCATTTTGAACGACTGTCACGCATGTGAAGTTTCACCTGATTTACGAATAAGCTGATCAGAGACACTTGTTATTGTATGAGCCGCGTCATATTTGAGAGCAAATACCTATATTTGCTGCCAAATTTCCCCCACATTGACCATGAAGTAAATCCTTCATTACGTCAGATCCGATCTAAATGACGTCACGATGAAATATAAAAGTCGCAATATCTCAAAAAGTATACAATGAAAACGCGTAAAAACTTGCAGAATTCGTCACAATATCATGAGTAACATTTCCGAATCCTAAATGGCACTTTCTTGAAGGTGGGATAGTCCCTTTAACCCGGCAGGCGGTGGGCCTCCCGGCCACCTTCTGCGCGGTGGGGGAGGGCATTTTTGCCCCGCCCCCCGTATCTCCGAAACTACTGGTCGAATCCGGAAAATTCAAACGGCGTTCGATAGCCCCGTCAAATTTGTCGACGAAAACCAAATTTCATTAACCTCGGGGTCACCGATGACGTCACAGGTCAGGTCAAAGATGAAATGTTTCACCGTTCACGGGGCTTCTAGGGGGCTTCACGGGGCTTAACTCTATTAGTGGCAGGCTCCTGGCTACCCCATATTAGTGGCAGGGGGGGGGGGGCTGTTTACGACCCCCCTTGATATCTCGAGATCTAACGGGCCGATTTTCAAAATTCAAACGGCATTCGATTTGGCTCAACGAGATCTACATTTCTAAAAAAAAAAATAAAATAAAAAAATGTCAATAGGGGGGTAGAGGGGGGTAAAAAAGGGCAAGCAGATACATTTTAGACTGTTTATCACGGCCAGGTTTCTGAACCAATCTTAACGCAACTTTTGCCGGTCGATAGAGAATGAACCAGGAATTTACATGGATCCTAAAAATATGCATTTTCAAAAATCATAGGCGGATGCAGATCATTGAGATTGGGGGTACACAAAAAGTATAGTAAATAAGGTTTTTGTTGGTACTGTTTCTAAAAAGGGTGGCAATGGTCTTGTTATGTTACAATTTTCTTATGAGAGAACGACTAAAATTGTATTGGTCATGCATAGGCGGTGTCAGGGCACCTATGTTGGGAGGTAAAAAATAACCCCCCTTTTTGGACGCCTGGATCCGCCTATTATAGCAAAAACGTGTCAAAAGAGGATGCACAATAACTTTGTATATGTTATCACATGATACCTTTCATTCACTGTTCGTAAAACTGGTGCAGCATCGTGATCTTCGCCCAAATGACTCGCTTACGAATAGGACCCCCCAATTCCCAGTGCTCTGGAGCCGCCCCTGGTAAAGTTATGAACTTGAAATTTTCAGGGAATGTGCCCAATTTAGTTTTAGGAAAAGTCAGAAAATTTCAGCATCGTAGCTTGAGCGGTTTCGGAGATATTCCCGAAAAACCTGAGGGGTGGATAAAAACAACCCCCCCCCCCTGCCACTAATAGGGTTAAGCGCTATAACACCGAGTAAAACGCATTTTGTCGAAAATCAGCGATAGGGCGTCAGTTGTCTAGTACATATGTTACTATTAGAGGTCACTAGTCATATCAGGTCAGGTCACAGGTCAGGTCACCAAATGTCACCAAGGGTCACCACATGAACCCAACTTTACTTAGGTTGTGCGATGCATGTTTTATGGCCAGTTTTTCATTTCCAACTCAATTGTGTTGGTTATAAGACCATCAGGTACGGTTTAGGTCACTTTCTGGTGGAGGTCAGGTCAAAATCAGGTCAAAAAGGTCAAAGTTCAAAGTTGATATTTTTGCATAAAATGGGTATTGATTCGATGCAACTCGTCACGGAGAGTCTAACAGTGGTCTTTGTTTTGCGCTACGAGACCTAGAATTGCTAAGAATTAAGTTTGAAAATTTGACGTCTTGATTGAATGGTGTGAAACGTTTTTATTTTAGCATGATTATGATTATAATGGAAATCAGATGGAATAGTAACCTTTTGCTCATAACTAAAGTAAGCCAAAAACAAATCCAAAATATATTTTCGGTGCTGGACCTTCTTCAGTGGAATGACAAAAGCACGAAAGAGTGACACATTTTAAATCATAATAAGTAAGTACGCACTCGCAACGCTAATAAAGCTACTTCCGAGAAAACGCATCACATTCATATGAAACATCCAGATTTTTGAAGGCATCAAACATAAGACATTAGATACTGGAAAACATTGGACAGCATAATATCAAATCGCTATGATATATGGTACATATGTATCACGTACATCACAGTTCTAAATGAGCGATATCATTATGTAGCAGACACACGGTATCTAACAAGTAAAGATCATTCACATACGTTAGCATCAAACACTTTGTAAATGGTGTGTAGTGCATACAAAATACAGGCACGTACTCTTCAATGAGCCTAACATAAAGAGTGGGCCCTGTGTGTGTGTGTTCAAGTGTAAATAAATATGTTCATGCCTGTTTGCGCAACTGAATGTGTTTGTGTGTGTGTGTGGGGGGGGGGGGGGTGCAAGTGTATAGGTGGGTGTGGGTGTGGGTGTGTACTGTGTATGTGTGTGAAGGTGGCATTTACTATGTGCTCATAGTTCAGAGTAGGGCACAGGTTTGATCAGCGTCCAAGATGATGTCATAATGTTGAGCGCCGGTTTGCGATTGCGAATTTCTAAGGATTCAGTATCTTTAGCTCTGCCATGTCTTTGCAGACCTGGAGAATCGAAATGGAAAGGGCGCCTTCCGTCACTTGAACGTTTGGATGCGCTCGGGTGAAATGCTCTCCAAATGGTGTGTGTTTTCGCAAACCGGCGCTCAACATTATGACATCATCTTGGACGCTGATCAAACCTGTGCCCTACTCTGAACTATGAGTACATAGTAAATGCCACCTTCACACACATACACACCCACCCCCACACCCACCTATACACTTGCACCCCCTCCCCCCCCCCCCACACACAAACACATTCAGTTGCGCAAACAGGCATGAACATATTTATTTACACTTGAACACACACACAGGGCCCACTCTTTATGTTAGGCTCATTGAAGAGTAGGCCTGTATTTTGTATGCACTACACACCATTTACGAAGTGTTTGATGCTAACGTATGTGAATGATCTTTACTTGTTAGATACCGTGTGTCTGCTACATACTGATATCGCTCATTTAGAACTGTGATGTACAGTAGGTCTACTAAAAAAGTCCCCCGCTCCAGAGACGGCCGGCCGGCCGAACCCCCGGATTCCAGCCCCGACACTATTGCGCAGACCGCGGCAGCGACACGGGTCAGGTCGCGGCGCCCGGCGAGTGGGTCAGTTGGCGGTGGCCGGCCGTGGAGTGAGGACGCCGCGTGAGGGGCGCAGAGATGCCGCAGTGCAGAGGAGGGGAAGATAGTGACTTTGCACGATGCCGGAAATGATGCCTTTGTGATCTAAATTAAGCACCTGCAGTGCATATCCTCTTTTGCCCCATTCCTATTTTATCATACTCCTTCAATAATCCGTAATGGCCATTCAACGCAAGCAAGCAAACAAAACAACCCGTTTAGCGGCGACATCATCTCGGATAAAAAAGCGACAGTAATGATTAGAATAGACTTAGAGCGAGGGCAAATCGATGGGTATAACTATTATATATGCATCACATACCGAGTATTTTATTCCCATCTAGCGAATTAAGATTGGGGATCTTGTCCAACAAGTCACCGGCCGTTCTAGACACAGATAAATGCTTTGTTTACGGTCGCATCATTATCTGCAATAATTCGAAGCGAGGTTTAACCGTCGCCAGCCGAGAAGAAGGGGTGGATGCCGCCACCATGTATTTTTTTTGCGGTAGCTCAAAGCACACTGATGATAGAAGGCTGACATTTGACATGCCTTACATCTTATTCAAGCCGGATCACTTGACATCAATCACGTTTTCAGGTCAGGTCACTTACTTAACTATGACGTCTTAAGTAAACCTCTGCACGGTTGTCGGTTATAAAATGATGCAATCCGCAATGCACTTAGTGTCATATAAGCATAATGGGGAATTATGGAAACTGTTAATTTGGCGTCGGAAATGATCTGAAACTACATGTGCTTCATGTGCTTCATGTCTGAAACATTCATGTGCTTGTATACCTCAAGCACATGAAATCGTGACTTCATACATTCTTGGCAAGGTCTAATGCTTCACTTTTGCATTGTTCACCTTGCGTGACGTCATTTATGACGTCACTAGGGTCATAGGAGTGCTTCGTCAATAACTCCCGATCAAAATGAGCTAGCCAGTCGGGACAGCCATCAATGGACTTTGCAAGA